AGTAACGAGTACTGGAGCGTTACACTCCCCTTTCTTTCTGTTCTTTATCGTCGTCATATCTCCTCCGATGATTTTATAGGGTAACGAAAACATGGTGGGTTAGAAATCAGCACTAAAGTATTTGAACCTCCCTTGATCATTGACTTCATATGCGGCGACAAATTCAACGTAGAGACGTGTAAGAGGAGGATCTATTGAAAGCCCATGTTCGAAAATGGATCAATTTTCAACAAACCCAGCTGCTCATCAATCAGCTTTTAACTATGATTTGTCAATCATTCTTCCAATTAAATCTACTGTGCAGCTGACTTCATTCCTTTCTCTTTCTTTTTCTTTTAACTCTGACGTCAAAGTGGACGTACATAGGCCATCTTGATCGTTGAAGAGTCGTAGGCAAGTAAGTTACTTGCACACCCATCACTATCTGGTCCATAAAAAGATAAACACAATATCCCTAAATCCTTTACGTTGTTGCCATGCCTTTACAGCTTTTGTGATTTAAACATCCTTTTAGTATACTTGAACGACACACCATCTTCAAGATTCATTGTCCGCTTTGAGCATAAACCTTCATAGATTTACCAACATTTCCTTAATCAAGGCTCGATTCCTTTCTCTGAAACCCTCGAACAAAGTACACTATTTTTTACTACACGTTCGAGGCTCACAAATTCTTTATTCGACATTTGAGAATTCTATTAATATGACTAAGTTAAAGATATGACTCTGATATCATGTTAGGAACCACAACTCCCTACAATGGTATGATATTGTTCACTTTTAGCATGAGCTCTCGTGGCTTTGCTTTGGGCTTCCTCAAAAAGGTTTCATATCAATGGAGATGTATTCTTTACTTAAAAATCTATGATCATTCCCCAAATTAGCCAATGTGGAGATTATTCCTTACTTATAAATTTATGATCATTCTCCAAATTAGTCAATGTAAGACTCACTCTCAGCAATCTTCAATAGTCCTCTCCTCCAACAAAGTACACCATAGAGCCTCCCTCGAGGGTTATGTAGCCCTCGAACAACCTCCTCTTAATTGAGGCTTGACTCCTTTCTTTGAAACCCTCGAACAAAGTACATTATTTGTTTGACACTTAAACCACTTCTGACTACATATTCGAGGCTCACAAATTCTTTATTCGACATTCGAGGATTCTATTGATATGACTAAGTTAAAAACATGACTATGATATCATGTTAGGAACCACGACTCCCTACAATGGTATGATATTGTTCACTTTTAGCATAAGCTCTTGTGGCTCTATTTTGGGCTTCCTCAAAGGTCACCATACCAATAGGGGATAAAAGGTCACCATACCAATAGAAGATGTATCCCTTACTCATAAATCCATGATCATTCTCCAAATTAGCCAAGGTGGGACTCTTTCTCAATAATTCTCAACAGACACGGTGTGAACGGGAACATGTTTTTTTAATACAGAGAGAGTTCGAGGAAGCTTGGGTTTTTGTCATTTCTTAATTCACTTTTGTTGTATGATACAGCAGGTACCCAATTGGGCGATTGAAAAGTGCTGTGAACACAAAAAAGAGACCAACACAGAAAGAAAGGGAAAGGTGGGTACGTCTAGCTACTTGTTTAAAAGCAACCAAATAGATCATCATCCACGAAACTGAAAGCGACACTTTCTTTTGAAATATACAACTCTTTTTTGCTATGGCGGCGGTGGGGTTTTTTTTTTTTGTTTGTCTTTTAAGGCCATAAATTTGGTTATCGAGGAAGATCAAACTACAAAATGGACTGGAAACACGATTGGCGAAAGGGGTCTATGATGGAATAGTGTGTGGGAAATCCACTACAACTTGGCAATTCTCTTCAGAACTACTCTCCTTTCTACGCTTGTATGATCACGAGTTTGAGTGGTTGATTTCATAGTTACATTGTCAAATGGAAAAAACAAAAATGACCTCGTACCAATGCGTCATGACTTCCACTGTTGTATGATATTATTCACTTTGAACATAAGTTATCATAGTTTTATTTTGTTTCTCCAACCGACCTCGTACCAATGGACATATATTCTTGTTTTTTAAATCCATGTGAAGTCTCTTGCCAACATAAACGGTAGAGATTGTAGACGGAAGAGGACAGCATCGAGACGTTGCATATAATTCGTTTCGATGCTCGAAGACGCACGCAGCAGTTGACAAAAAGTTGTAGCATTTGATGCTAAGGTAAGTTTGTATAAAAACGTAATTTATTTGTTGTAATTTTCAATATGGTAGAACATGCTTTTGTAGAAAGCTCGAAACGTAGTTAGTTTGAGACGAACGAGTATAACTCAAGTTATCGATTCATCGTTCCGTCCCGTCATGATGTCCACCTAGGGTTAGCAAAGGATTCGTGAGAAATATATGGTATGTAATGAGTCTTCTTTGTTTCAATGTGTGGAAAAAAACAATATAAAATAGTGAAAGTAGAAAAATCAATATGAACACATTCCACATTGTTTAGGATGGAGAGTGAAAATTCTATGGGTCTATGATGTCTTCTTTGTTTCTAGACGTGGAAAAAGTGAGAAGAAAAAATGAAGGAGAAGAAAATGCATGAAAAGCGTTTTGCTCGGCGAGAAGACCTCGAACTTAATTTGAAACGAAAAACAACTTAATCATTCATCTGAATATATTTATTAACGTTTTATTTATAACGACACTTTACCTATATATTTGTGACACTCAAGCAAAGAATAGGTACAAGAACAAATCGAGACCGCATCCAAATGAGAAAAGACTTATAGAAATGAAAGTTACTACATATACCAAAAAGGTGCACATTCCTTCTTAGTAGCTCAATTATTGGAACTTATGGTTAAGCATGCTTTAGTTGAACAATTCTTTTCTGGGTGATCTCTCGAGAATTTTCTTATGATGCATGTGAGTGAAGACATAGCACGTTGGGATGATTTGGGTTGGTTAAGGATAGTTTTCACTCTTAAGGAAGAGGAACATAGGTCACTACATGACATGCTAATAGGACTTGTATTATTACGTGGGATGCGACATATGACTAGTCTTCACTATTATGAAGCTAGAAACATAGATAACACTACTATGGGAAAAGGATGCAAGGGAATATCCAAGTTATCAAGTGCGGAATTCGAATTTCAAAGTTTATCATTACGATACTATGGAATGGTGTAACATTTTTGTCTTTTTAAATTCGAGAATGTTGGAGAGAACAGATATCATATCTGCAGACATACGAAGGATGGTTCAAAGTTGGTTGGGTCTAGCTGTAAAGTGTTCAAAGCGAGTCAAGTTCCGCTCACAAAGTCCACAATGGCTAGCCCAAAGTACACCGCATGCAACAACTTTTTAGTTACTCCCCAAGGCTCCACCTTTCCCTCAATTTCTATATAAACCCATTCACAAACCTTCAAGTTTTCATCACATAAATCCTTAATAGAGATGGATGGTCAAGATGAACTTAAGAAACCATCCGTTTTCCTCCAGCTCTTGGCCAAATTCCATGCAGGCTACTTCAGAATCAGCATGTCCCTTTGTGGGCAAGCCTTGTTATGGAAGATCCTCAAACAGCCAATTCAAAACGAAAATTCTCTAAGGCGAACCCTTCGCTTGCTACCCAATACAGCTTTCTTGTTGTTATGGTCATTAGCTCTGTTCATTTTGGCTTCTCTTTCCTTCATTTACATTCTAAGGTGTTTCTTCCACTTCAAGTTGGTTAAATCTGAGTTCTTGCATAGAGTGGGCTTGAACTACCTCTTTGCACCATGGATTTCTTGCCTTCTTTTGCTTCAATCTTCACCATTTAAGGCTTTGCTCCCCAACCAAATTCTCTTGTGGGTATTTCTGATTCCAATTGTTGTATTGGATGTGAAAATCTACGGCCAATGGTTCACAAAAGGGAAGAGGTTTTTGTCTAGTGTGGCCAACCCCACTAACCAACTTTCGGTGATCGGAAACTTGGCCGGAGCTTGGGCGGCGGCGGTGATTGGGTGGCGGGAGACTGCACTCTGTATGTTCTCTATCGGAATGGCACATTATTTGGTACTTTTTGTGACACTTTATCAAAGATTGTCTGGATGCAACTGCCTGCCTGCCACTTTGAGGCCAGTGTTCTTCTTGTATTTTGCAACTCCAAGTATGGCAAGCTTGGCTTGGACTTCCATTAATGGTGAATTTGATACCTTCTCCAAAATGCTGTTCTTTCTCTCTGTTTTTCTCGCCGTGTCCGTTGTTTCAAGGCCGGCGCTTTTTAGAAAATCCATGAGGAAATTCAGTGTGGCATGGTGGGCTTATTCGTTTCCTCTCTCTGTTCTTGCTTTGGCTTGTAATGAATATGCAAAAGAAGTTGACGCTGAAGCTGCTCATGTTATTGCCCTTCTTTTGTCTCTCCTCTCTGTTTTGGTGTCTCTGTTTCTGATGGTCGTTACAGTGTTGAGGACTAATTTCGTCATCCCGGTGACCCCGCCGCCGCCGCCGGCGATCAGTTCCGACAATAGCAGTGCTGAACCATGAGGGTTGATTCAAACAAAGCCCATAAGAGGGTGATGGGTCGAAGCCCATGAAGAATCCTTCCTTTACCATTTGTGTTGTAAAGAAAACAATCAGGCAATTACTGACAGGGCCTTTCGAATTGCACAGAAACTGGAGGGCTGCTGCCGCTGCCCCTGTGTTTGTCTATGTCTTTTGGCTTCGTCTTCTCCATTTTTTCATGCTGTTTTGTTGTTGCCTCTTGACCCCACTTCCTCTTCTTCGCAAATCCACCGCATCAGGTCTTGTCCTGTTTGTGTTTGGCCATTTTTTTTCTCCAGATTTGGTTGCTTACTCTTCACTCAATCTTCTCATAAATACAAACCCACAAACCAAATTCATTTCCTTTTATTATGAGTTATGTGCAGCTCCAAGCAGTCAACTTTATTATGAAATTATGTCATATGTTCATTTGGGTAGCCCTTCAAATCTACCAAACTCAACAAATTTACAGAGAAACAGTTGAAAATATCAAAACTTTTTGAGATTAGATGAACTAACTAACAACTTTGTTCTCTCAACTCTTGCTACTAATTTCACTAATTACAAAAATGGATTCAATTATCATCATTAACACAGCTTCGGATTGTGATCCAATTATCATCTCTCATTTCCCATTTGATTTCCCCTGAAAACATCGACAGCCGTTTGATTCTGTCGTCCTCCCATGTCTCTGTTTTCAACAGAGTTTGCGACCCTTCTTCTAACGAGTTCCAAGGGCCTTGATCCAAAATACTCGTCGGAGATTCGAAATCTGAATGTAATTCCCTGATTATCTCGAACCCAAAACTCAGTTCCCCCAAAAATGGATGTTTAAGAAGTCGATTCGCACTCCACCGTTCTGTCGGGTTTCTTCTCAAGCATTTCCCTAAAAAATCCTTCGCTTTCTCCGATAAAAAGCTCGGAATTTCCGGTGAGTCGCCGGAATATGCGATCCGGTACAGCGTCGAAACTGGGTCTCCGGCGGTAGGCCACGGCGGGGCGCCGGACACCATTTCGATTAAAGTACACCCGAGTGCCCATATGTCAGAGGAAATCCCCTGTGTTTCCCCACGCGCCACCTCTGGTGCCATAAACATCGGCGTTCCGCAGACCGCTGCCGGCGACTCACGAACCCATTTGGAGCATCCGAAATCAGCGATCTTCAAACCATCTGCACCAATTAAAATGTTCCTAGCTTTGACATCACAATGCACCAAACCCCGCTTGTGCAAGTACTCCAATCCTCTGACAATTTGACGCGTGTAAAACGCCGCTGTCACCTCCTTAATCCGGCCGCCACGCCGAACGATTTCGTCGGCGAGAGAGCCACCAGCGGCGTACTCCATGAAGAGATTATACATAAGCTTCCCATTTTCTGTCGTTACGTCGAATCCCTTGTAGCCCACAATTGAAGGGTGGGACAGCGAAGAAAGAATCCTCTGCTCTGTTTCAAGAAAGTCCGAATTGAGAAGCTCGGCGGACTTGACAGCGAAGAGGTCGCCGGAAGATGAGGAAGCAGCGAGGTAGACGGTGGCGAAGGAGCCGTGGCCGACGGCAGCTAGTCGGGTCCAGGCCATTGAAACTTTTGTTGAAAGGAAGAGAACAGCGAAGGAGGTTTAAATAGTAGGAGTTGAGAAGGGGAAGTTGGTAATGGACAGTTGGATCTATGAATCTATTGAGAGTTGACAATTTGGTTTGAAAAGTAAACGTGTCGGGTTTCCAGAAGGGTTTAGGTTTGGCACGTGCGTGGACGAGTTTTGATTGGCTGAATAGACTGGTTTTACTTCGCACGTGTGTTTGAAATATGGTATAAAAAGAGATTCTAGATGGGAAAGGGGGAGATTTGGGTCTTAACCCACAAACTTTTTTAAATTATATATATATTTATAATTCTAGTCTTTCTATTTTATCTTTGTACTCAATTTTAATATAAATTTAAAATAATTTTGAAAATCATTATTTTAACAATATTAAAAATTTTAATATATGAGATAACATGGAGGATGGGATGCATGGAGTGGGTTGAAACATTGGTATTAGAAATTGTTAAAAGAATATTGTTTAGGTAAAAGAGTTGACTTTAGGTAGCAAGAGGTCAATATGTACATTAAAAAAAAAAAAGTGTTTGACATTGCATGTTTGTCAAGTGGAAATTCTAAGTTTAGGGGTAGTTTTGTAATTAACCATGATGATATTACAAAAAGAAAAAAAAAATTAAAATTAAAATTTAGTACATAAATATTTCCAAAAAGAATAAATAAAGTTTAATTAGTGTGGAAAAAATGAAATTATTAGTGGCGGCGGTTGTGGTAGTTAGCAAACCCTAAATTTTAGAGCCGAATTTACAATGAACTTAATTAGGTAATAATGTTAATTTATTTTCCCATGCATTGCCAAGCCTTTTTTTTTAGTTTATTTGAAATGTGTTCTGTTGTGGTTTTTAAAGGATTAAATATGATAATTATTTAAGAGAAAATGGCATTAAACATAGGTGATTTTGAAAATTATGAAACATTGAATGTAATAAATTACCAAATAAAGGCTGAGTTGAAATGAATGCACATTGAATTTATTTTGATGACAAAAAGTTAAAAAAGAAACATTGAATGTAGTAAATTAGGAATTGAAAGCCAAGGAAAGGAAAGGAATGAAATCAGACCAAACGACCCGAAAGTGAAATACATATGACATGTCACGTTATTATCTTCAAACTTTTCTATATTTAAAAAATAATATTAAAGAATCTAGAGATAATCTATGAGACGTCGGTTATATTTTTATTTTTGAAGGAGAAGGTATATATTTTTTGAAGTTATTTTTTAAAAAACTTTAATTATTATAGAGTTATTTTTTCATGAGCCCTCCCACAACCACCCTCACATTTTATTATTATCATTATTATGAGAGTTATATTAATTCAAAATAAAACCCAAACAAATAAAAACATTAAATGATGGTTGGAGAAATTGAAGTATTTAATGTGTTGACAGCCACTTTGTACTTCATTTATAAAAGGAATATTGAAATAAATGCATGGTTCTAATGTTCATTCAAGATTGAATTGTTTTAGAAACAATCATTTATGATCATTTATGTTTCAAATTTTTTATTTTTAAATTGCTTTTCAGAATCATTAGTATGATTCTTATCTATTTTCAATATGGAAAAATAGTCAATTTAGAATTCGAGTTACAGATCAAACAAGTATAGCATCAATCATCCAAAAAATTCAATAAGTATAAAATAATTCACCAAGTTAAGGGTCGATCCAAAAAGATCAACAAGTTGATGGATGATAATATCATCTAAAAAGATCGATAAACCAGAGTTAATTTGAAAATCAAAGAACCAAAAGCAAATTTGAAGATGAAAACGTGTTACAACTCATGCCCGCGATTTTTTTCTCTGGGCTTCCCCTTCTGGGCTTCCACTCAAGGTTTTTAAAACGCGTTTACTAGATAAAGGTTTTTACACCCTTGTAAAAAAAATGTTTGATGTGAGATCTTATAATCCACCCCGTTCGTGGCTCAAAGTCCTCGTGCTGGCACTCGCTCATTTCTCCAATCGATGTGGAACCCCCCACCCCCTTCGGGACCCAACGCCCTTGCTAGCACACTGCCTCATGTTCACTCCTCCTTCGAGGCTCAGCCTCCTCACTATCACATCGCCCCGTATCTAGGTCTGATACCATTTGTTACAGCCTATACCCACCACTAACAGATATTGTCGGGCTCGAACTTTCCTTTAAAATTTTTAAAAGGCGTCTATCGAAAGATTTCCACACAAGTGAATGTCACAAAACTAATAGGGTAGTAAAAGAGAAGCTAGAAATGGACATTTGTGAGTCCATTCCACGGGTCTTCTAAACGGCAAAAAAAGACAAAGTTTCAAGTTGACGAACAGATGTTGCCTTCACTCCCTTTCCTTCCCTTCTATGAACATCAAATAGTGGAATGTTCGATATTATTCAAATAATAAATTATGAGGAAATAAAAGAGAAAATAAGAAAAGTATAATTACTTCAAATGGGTTCTTCCTTTTTTTCTTTCTTTTAATGTGTGTATATATTATCAATTAAAAAAAAAAAAAAAAAGAACTTGTTTTCTTGGGTCTGAAAATGCCAATTATTGGCCTTTGAATCATGTTCTTCTTCTTGGCCTTACTGTTGGGAATTGCTAGTTGTATTGTTATCAACATTACTATTCCCATTCCCATTCTCCTTTTGATGATGAGATCCTCCGATCAACGACGTCATCGCCGTCGCCAACGCTGCAATAAAATTCGGGTCGGAGGCAATCGCCGCACTCGCCGCACTCAACGTATCGGCCAATGGATTCTGCAACGCCGGAGGTGGAGGCGGCGCTTCCATGTCCTTCGACATTTGGAGGCCGGAGAATTTCGATTGGTTGTACAATGCATGTCCGAAGATCTGGGGGAAGCTCTGAGGCGGAGTGGCTGCAAACGAAATTGGGAAGTGGCCGGCAGCCGGGCGTTGGAATAAAGGGTTTGGGGTTTGTGTTAGGTCCAATGTCACGGTGGGAAATGGAGCCGAGGCTGAGATTGTAGCCATGCTTGAAGAGCATGGCAATAGGGTTCTTGCTAAAAAGTTTGGATTCATTAACCCATCGGCACTTGACATGGACCCTGATAGAAGCATCCTAGCCGCCGATGATGTTGTTGAAGCCATTGCCATGGCCGCCGGTGGTAATGGATGGTTGTGGTTTCCTTCGTACGTTGTTATCAAAATTGTTTTGTCCTCCGCACATCTTTGAACCTAACCAAATTTGTTGTCATCCCAAAATGTTTGTGACATTAACATTCAAGGGAATGGTTTATGAGTATTGACTTACTTGTTTTCTAACCGGGCAACCGGCCGCCATGGTGCACCGGTAGTAAGCTCGTGGACAAGGGTTTCCCTTCGCCATTTTTTGCCCGTATTTTCTCCATTGACATCCGTCTGTGATCTAAATAATTCAATCAAATAATACTCCGTTCAGTTGAATTGCTCAATGAAATCATGTTTGATTCAATTAACTAAATATTTAATCTACCAACAATCTCTTAAAAATGGAATCTTTCTTAAGATTGTATTATCTTGAGTCTCCTAAAAATTGAATCTTTTTCTAAAATTTGATTAGGAAAAAGAAAAAGGGTTAAGATTGTGTTAGCATATCTCTTAAAAATTGAATCTGTTTTAAAATTTGATTAGGAAAAAGAAAAAGGGTTAAAGATTGTGTTACCATGGGAGCTTCGGATCTAGCTCGAACCGAGACCCGAGCCTTTCTCATAGTAGATTCAGTTTGATCTGCATCTTTAGCCGAAGAAGAGGAAGAAGAAGAACCTAATTTGGGAACCTTATTATTATTATTGGAACTCCAATTCGAGGCTTGGTCGGGGCTATGTCGTTTGGACGACGCGACTTCTCCAGTTGTAACCGGAGATCGCGACAGCTCTCCACTCCTTCCGTCGGATGACATCGAGAGATCATCGGTGTCGGCATTCGTGGCCAATCCAAGATCCATAAATTGCCTTGGGACCAGCTTATTAGTATTACATCCGCCGCCGTGTCTGACCTTTTCTTGGGCGGAGGCGGACTTTTCCTCAATCTGATCGGCAACGTCGGCCGCCTTCTGGGTTTGAATTAGGGTTGCAAGGTGCATCTGTAGCGCTTGGTAATTGGACGTCACTTGATTTAACATGTCCTTTAATCTTAGATTCTCTGATTTTAGCCTCTCCAATTCAGCTTGAAGAACTGCTCGCTGATCATCATCATCATAATCATCAAAACTTCAATTAAAAAAAAAAAAAAAAAAAAAAAAAAAAAAAAAAAAAAAAAAAAAAAAAAAAAAAAAAAAAAAAAAAAAAAAAAAAAAAAAAAAAAAAAAAAAAAAAAAAAAAAAAAAAAAAAAAAAAAAAAAAAAAAAAAAAAAAAAAAAAAAAAAAAAAAAAAAAAAAAAAGGAATTTTTAATTTATTTGTTGATTTTATATGAAATTCACCTCGTTTTTGGCTCTTTTATCTTCTGGGTTTGGAGAAACTCCATCATCCACCATGGATTGATCGCTACTTGAATTGGTGGTCAAGAGATTCAAGCCTGTCTGCAAATTGAAAATCATCCCAATAAATCAATGGAAACCCATTTGTAAAAAGGGGAATTAAATTATAAAGGAAAAGTTTTGGGGGACCAACGTTAACGTTGAAGTCGAGTTTGGTGGGACTGCGATTGCGGGAAGCGAGTTTGGAGTCGAGGAGGACGCGGGATTTGTCATCGGCGGGGAAGAAGTTCATCTCGTCGAGGAGGAGCCGGTGGGAGGGCGGAGGAGGAGGTGGTGGTGGTGGAGGAGGAGGAGGAGGGGAAGGGGCGGCGTCCATGTTGGTGGGGGATCTGAATCAATGGAGAGTCCACTGGGTTTGCCAATAAATCTTAAAACTCTAAAACACACTTTTTCTTTCAAACCGTTTCAATGGACTCGGCTATAAACTTGGAAGGGAAGACTTGGCGAACAACACACTACTTTGAACTTCTTTTTTTTTTTCTTTTTTTTTTTTAAATTAATTTAAAAAAAAAAAAAAGATTGAGCAAAAACAAAAACCAGATGGACCAAATTTGGTTTTGGTTGAATTATTTTAACTTTTCTCCCTATGTTTTTCAAACCATTTTTATTTCTTCTCCCACCAATTACTTTTTTTTCTTCAAATAAAGTTTTTAATTTGGATTACAACATACTTCTTTGTATTAATTATTTTAATATTATGATTTTGAGTGTGTTCTTCAAAGTTTTAATTGCATTCTAATTTTCAGGATTTTTTTTAAAAAATATTTTAGAAGTTATTCGGAAAATATTCACTCTCGTCAATATTTGGCTTTATAAATCAATTTTAGATATTTAATATCTTCCATCAAAATATAAAGATACATTATCTAAATCTAGCAAACAAAATTTCAAATTAAAGATACTAAGAAAGTATCTCGTTTAACTATCAAATACTATCGAAATTAAAATTATCTTTAAAAAATTCGATTCTAAAATAGATATATTTTTTTATGGTTCAAATTATGTATGAAGTAATATGAATTTTAAATACAAAACATAAACATTAAAAGTCAACTAAAAATTTGAACGTTTCCCCACGTAGACATTATTTTATTGAAGCGGAGTATGAACACTTTTAATTTTAAAATTTAAAAATAAAAATGTAAATATTCTTTGAATTGAAATTGATACTTCGTTGACTTGTGAAAGATCATGTGTAGTGAGATGACAATATTAAATGACAGAAGACCCAGGAAGGAAACATAACTTTGAAATAGAGACACAAAACAGAGACCGTATTATTCAAGCAAGAGCAACCTTGATGAACCAAGAGTTACATTTCTCCTTAACAAACACTGCCCATGGATGCAAACAAAGTTCCTGTTCAAGCTGAGAGGTATCTTGACATCCAGGATTGGAAGCGAGACCATGCCAGTTCCACCGCGCTATCGTCCTCGTCCTCCATTCCCATGCTCTTCCTCCTCTTCACACCTTCTTCGGATCGGTTCATGAAAGCATGCCCACTTCCTTTATATATATGCACCTCATATGGAATTCCTGATTCTTTCAGCTTTTCCTCCAGTTTCTTGGCAGCCTGAAAACTCTAATCTCATTATCACTCTACCAGCTACATGTTCTTGTTGGCGTATTTTAACCAAAAACAAAATCCAACGCAAATTTTAACAGCAAGATTGTGTAACAAGACTCTAACAATTAAAAACAGTGTATGTCTTGTGTAAGAGTCTAAGCCCATCACTAGCAAATATTGTCTTTTGCTTAGAGAGAGGAACGAGGAACGAAGCCTTCCTTATAGGAGTGTAGAAATCTCTTCCTAGAAAAACGTGTTTTAAAAACCTTGCGAGGAAGTCCGAAAAGAACAATATCTGCTAGCAACGACCTATTAAACAGATCCTTCTCAATTCCACATTCAATAACTACCATCAAACTTTTGAAGGCCTTTTGCATTTCACATATGATTGAGTGACTACATGGAAGAAAGAAAAGGGAATATTTGACAGAAAGAATCGAGAGAAAAGTTCTACCGTCAAGTCGGAGAAGCCAACAAAAGAATCGAGCTCGCCAAAATGAGCCTGAATGGGTGCCTTAGCCTGGGCAGGATCTGCAAGCTCTGATGAAGGAACTCCATAGAATGAAACAACAGCATCAACCTCAGGGATCAAAACAGAACTTGCAATTGAAAGAGCACCCCCCATGCAGTATCCAGTTACACCAACCTGACATGATCCTAATATGTTTTAACTTTCTAGAGATATTATGGTCTCAAAATGGAGATTTTAGCCTACACTTCATCAGTATCCTAAACAGTTGAGTACCTTCTTAGAGCCATTACCCTTGAGCCAGTTAACTGAAGCATGTATATCCTTCACAGCACCTTGCCAGTCGAGACCTTCCATCAGATGTTGCGCTTCAGCAACATCTAACCCGACCTTACCTCGATACAAACTGTTATCAGCATAATGCAGCACAACCAAGGAGATCAATTAGATCATTGACATCATCATAACAGAAGAAAGAATTCATATTCCAAGAGAGAAAAGGCATCGTACTCGGGAATAAGTGCCTTGAAACCAGACCCAAGCTCAGATATCTTCACAGCATGATTCTTGACCTCATAATCCACTCCCCACCATTCTTGAAGAACAACAATTCCTGGGGCATCATCTCTCCCCACAACATAAGCATCAAATTCCTGCCAAAAGAAACAAAACTTGGAATGTTTAGTGAAAATTCCATGAATTCAAATTTCAAGTAGTTGAAATACCATCGAACTGAGCATCTCAATGCTCCAGTAAAACTAAGCGCAAGCTTGTTAAAATATTGATATAATTAATCTTAACTCATCATGTTAAGCTTTTTGGCTCAAAAGTGATTTAACATTGTATCATAGCAAGAAATCCCATGTTTAAACCCTGTAATGTCATTTCCTCCCTCAACTCAACTAATAATGATTTCTACTTGTTCACCTATGTGCCCACCCACCACTAGCAGATATTGTCCTCTTTGGGCTTTTCCTTTCGGGTTTCCCCTCAGCTAGGGAGAGGTTTCTACACCCCTTATACCCCTTGGGGCCTAATGCCCTTGCTTGCACACCGCACTCTTACCAGGAATGCTACTTTATTCCCCTCTCCAACCAACGTGGGATCTCACAATCCACCCCTTGGAGGCCGGCATATCTACGAGCGGTCGACTTGAGCTATTATTACATCACCTTCCTACAAATTTTCAACCGAGTGAAAGGAGTGTTGAAGTATTGCTTTCGAGCATTTTTGGGCTGAGTAGTGATTTGACAAAGCTTTAAGTGGACAACACAGGTCATTAAGGAATCTAGCTCTAGTTGCATTACAACACTAACCATAGCTACTCAATCCACTAATCGTTTCAAATAGCAAACCCCTTAATCATCTAGGGTTACAACAAATCAGGCCACAGGGTTAACTCCATTTCCCCTAAATTAAACACTGCCACAAGAATCCCACCGACCCATTAAACAAAGTAGGCGAATTCCCCCAAAAAACGACACCATCAATCTTTCCCAAACGGCAAACAGCAAATAGAATCATACCCAGATAAAGAAACAGAGAATAGAGGAAATCAAAGTGTGGGAAACATTAAAGAGCAAAACGGAAGTGAACTCACAGTGCCATCCCTCTCAATTTGGATTTTCTTGAAAGGGGAAGAAGCAGAAGCAGCCATGGAGCGGACTGAGAAGCGAGAAAGTGAGAAGCCTAGCTTGTGAGCAGTAGAGAAGATTGCCGTGGTCTTGAGAAGCGGCACCAGAGAAATGGAGGACCGTAAATTCGATAATAACATCTCTCAACGCCTTACACGATACAAGAGGATCCCTCAGTGCGTAGTCAAAACGCAGAGCAGGCGCGGGAGAAATGGGGAGCGGCGAGTAAAGGTAAAAGTGAGACTAAATGATGTCGGTTGCTTCGCCAACCGTCAACCCCCGAAGGTAAAGCCGAAGCAAATGCGGTACCACTAAACAGTTAATTATAATAATTACAATGACAAAAAAAAAAAAAAAAAATTATAATTCTTCTTGAGCATGCCTTATAATATGCATCATATTATATATTATTATTATTATTGGAAATAAGTAATTAAATGCTAAAAAAGATGAAGGAGTCTAATTATAGGTGATAATTTAATAAAATTAAATAAAGAAATAATTTTTTAGTATCTCACGGCGCAAATATTAAAGTAATTTAGAAAAAATACGTGGAATTTTGGAAAATTGTTATACCTAAGTAAAGATATGACGTGGAGTTTATTAGTTGGAGATTTAATAACTAATTTAATTTGTAATTATCTATCTTAACTGTGGTTAATTAAATTTATTAATATATGTTTCATTTTTTTTCTTCTTTTTAATCAAAACTTTTTATTAAATTTATTTTGTTTCATTAAATATTTCAAAATCTACAAATATATTTAAATAATTAATTTAGTAAATATATTTTGAGTTTTGAAAGAGGAAATTTGTGAATATATATTTGGTGATTAAAATTGAAAAAAGAAAAAGAAAAAAGGCGCAATAAATATTTGAGCTTGAATGGCCGGAGAAACCACTGGCGGCTATTGACAGTATAAAAGGCAGAGAATATGCAGGAAATGAGAGAATCGTGCTTCTTGGAAACCAATCCCCATTTTTCTGTTTCGATTCGCCACTTTCTTCCTCTGTTTTCTCAAATTCCAATTCCGTACTCTCACACAGAATCGCCCAAAATCAAAATCTCTGATAATGGCCACTCTTCCCGACTCTCTGTTCGGAGAACCGTCGGCTGCCGAGCGAACCACCGCGCCGAAATCCAACACTTCTCATCCTCCTAATTCAGACCTAAACAAGGTCTCTATTGAAAAGCTGATTCTCGCTCTCCACAACGCCCATACTCGCGAGCGTGCTTTGCAGCTTCTCTCTCAGGTACTGTCTGTAAATGATTCGATATATTGCAATCTCTCCGTTTACGTTGTTTGGTTTCTGGTGATGAGCAGGCGATCATACTCATACTCCAGATTTTTTCTCGCTCTAGGGTCAGAGCAAAGTAGGAACGAAAAGTTCATTGTTCACTTTTAATTCGCCTTGGACTCAAAGAATTATTTAAGATTTTGAGTTTTGCTCTTAATTTCCCCTATTTTCTTACAATGTTAAGATTATATACAAAAAGAACGTTAAAATTTCTGGCTCTGCCTTGGTTGTTGAGAAAATATTGAGATGGAATTGAGGTGCATTACAATCTAAATGTTGCATTCTATTCTTTTTCCGATGATTCAAACCTTGAGTGCCGTTTTCTTTTTCTTTTCTTTTTTTCTTTTCTTTTTTTGGTCTTTTTTTCTCATCAGAATAGGAGTAGGAGTGACGATTTGGCTGTTCTGATATGGCATTCGTTTGGTACGATGTTTACCCTTCTGAAGGTATGAACTCTCACTTGTGGCCATGTCTTTTCAGAACCATGTCAATCTTCAGGCTGAGTGATTCCTTTTGGGGATGTGTGCTGCAATTGTAGGAAATCATGGAAATTTACCCTTCGCTGTCCAAGCCCGACCTTACAGAAAGGGCTTCAATTAGGGTCTGCAATGCTCTTGCTCTTCTTCAGGTTATGATCTCTCATCATGCTTTATCTTTTTCGCATCAGATATGAACATGAATGAACAAAATTTGTATTGTTTGTTTGATATATTGAACTTGTGTGAAGCTCTGATTTCAATCCTATTTGAATACTGTATGTGAATCTTTCAATGCATGCATCATATCTCCATGGGTTAACTCATAATTCATTACTTTCAAATTTACCTTCTTACTTATGAATCTGTGTTCTTATCTTCTGCAGTGTGTGGCTTCTCACCCAGAAACAAGGGTGCCATTTATGAAAGGTAAAATCTCAGCAAAATTCGATTTATCTTTGACTTTTTCAAGCACGAATCAGTGGCTTTTTGAATTAGGTAGCGTTGATGGTCTGAGTTTTGCTGATTTTCCAGTGCTTCTGCTTGAATGTATATTATTTTGCAGCCAAGATCCCACTCTATTTGTACCCTTTCCTTAATACCACCATTAAAGAAAAGCCTCATGAATATCTCAGGCTCACAAGCTTAGGAGTAATTGGTGCACTAGTGAAGGTAGTCACTGGTTTCTGTTCTGTACATTTTGTTTTCTGTTCTATGGTGAACATCAACACTTGCTAACACGCACCATGATGGAATGATCACATTGAAACAAACTAATGAGTTCAATAACAAAAATTACAGGCGCACACACACAAAGTTCTGGTTTGGTTTGTTTTGTTTTGTAACTATGGAACTCTCTAATCGGTGAAACTGAAGATATGCAATGGTTTGCAGGTTGATGACAAGGAAGTAATTTACTTCCTACTCAAAACTGAAATAGTTCCATACTGCCTGCGATGCATGGATGTGGGAAAAGGCTTGTCGAAAACGGTGAGTACAACAAGATGAGATCATTAGCTGCGTTTCAAATATTGCTTTCTTAATAATGTCAAGCACCTTTATTACTAGGCTGTTACTCATAATCTTAACATCACCCAGGTTTCCACATTTATTCTTCAGAAAATTCTAATGGATGAAGAGGGATTGAGGTACTGCTGTCTCGTAGCTGATCGATTTTTCGCAATAACTAGTGCCTTGGAAACAATGATGGAAAAAATTTCAGAAGAACCCTCACAACGTCTGCTAAAACATATTGTTCGCTGTTATCTTAAGCTATCTGAAAGTCCAAGGTTAGCTAAAAGTTCCTCTGAAGGCTTTAAAATCTTCATAATTTGATTGGTTTTACCATTACTCTTGATATTACACCATTGATTCTGTGCTTGAAATTATCAATAAAGGGCTTGCCCGGGACTTGCTAAACTCCTTCCTCGGATGCTAAACGACAGCGCGTTTACCGACCTCCTTCGTGTAAGTTTTGCATCTACATTGGAAGTTTATCACATCAATTCCTTACATCCACTTCTGAAGCTTAAGCTATTATGAGTTTGTTACTTGCAGGATGATCCAACAGTCATGAGCTCCTTCCAACAGTTGCTTCGCAATGTACATGAGAATAGATTACGAGAGAATGAAGATGAATATGGCACTCCCAAAACAGGTTGAACAAATTATACATACATAGCTCTAACAATGAGTTGGTTCATCTTCCACATTTCTCTTTCATCTTCCACATTTCTCGTTCATCTTCCACATTTCTCTTCACTATGTAGATGACTCCTTAAAACTTAGTGTTAGGCTTATTTTCTTCCACAGGCTTTTGCTTTGCTACTTCTTTAATTCTCTGTTAAGTACAGAACGAAGGGGAATCTCATCTTGACTGTCACAATCTCTCCTACTAGTTGAACTTTGAGCTTAATTTGGTTTTTCAAAAAACTAGAGGTATAAATGGAATTAAAATTGTAACCGTTCAAGCCACCGCCAAGCCGATATTGTCTTTTTTGGACTTTTCCTTCCAAGCTTTCCCTCGAGCTTTTAAAAAGCGACTGGTAGGTGGAAGTTTTCACACCCTTATAATGAGTGTTTCCTTTCTCCGCATCTGATAGGTAAGGTTTTCACGTGTTTTATCCCCTTCTTCAACCAACACGAGATCTTACAAAAATGTATTTGATAAAAATTAAAATGTTACTTAATTTTTCCACCCAACTCTACTTGTAAGTAGAAGTTTTGACAATCTAAATTTTGAATTGGTTAAAATTAGTTTCACGTTTCAAGTAACTCTCAAACAAGTTTGAAAGTGACTTCAAACATGATTAAAGTGATTTTGAAATCAAACATGTTCAAATATTTCTTCTAAATCAATTTTTAATAGCCTGAGTTTAGTTTTTAACAAAAATTCGAGATTTAAATAGTTGGATGAACAATTTTTACTAATACTTGCCTGTGCAACTATGATAGCACATAGTAACATTTGTAGAGCTTAATTGAACCATCAAGATATTAAAAATATATATATATATATATGAAACTTTTCAAATTAAATCCAAAATACATGAACTCAAATCAAGCATTTAAAATTATATAATCTTTTTTATTAAAAAAAAAAAAATTAAACGCGGATTCCAGCAAGAGGGAGTTAGATTGTGATACCCAATCGAACTCTGATTCTTCACTTTGTTCGTAAATCCTGAAGACTGAAGAGAGAATCATTAGTTGCATCCCATCCCCACTTATTTATTTCAACTATTCACTCTCTGCAAATCCCTCCCGCTTTCTCCGATGGCAATTCAGGCCAGCTCCTGCAATCCCTCACTCATCAAGTTCGGATTGGCTTTGATCGCCCTCTCTATCGCCGGTTACATTCTCGGTCCTCCTCTCTATTGGCACTTCAAGGAAGGTTTAGCCGTCGTTACCCGCTCCTCTTCTTCTTCCTCATGCCCTCCTTGTTTCTGCGACTGCCCTTCTCAGCCCCTCATCACAATTCCCCAAGGTATCTTTTGGTTTCTCCTTTTCTTATGCTCAGATCCGATTAGATCTCTCCTGGGTTTCGTCTAACTTTGCCACTGGTTCGTTAATTTGGCGATTCGCTTTCTTAGATCTCGTTCTGGGTTTAGGTTGATTTTGTTCTGTTATGCTGATTTGCTTAAGGTTCCCTTTCCGCATATGGGTAATGATCTAATTGTTTATCTGATTATGTATGTGAACTTCTTCCTTGTAGATTGAAGTCATGCATGCCTTTCAATTACCCTTTTCTGGTTTTTGTGTAATCTGTTTACTTACTGTGGTTACTGTTTGTGCAGAATTGAGGAACACTACTTTTGGAGGTTAGTTTCACTTTCTTTCTCAAATGGGTATAATGTTTTTGCTTCATCATGACAAGTGATTCTGAACTTTGCAATATGAATATCAAAGATCTCAATATCTTAACCCCTTGATGATCATGAATTAGATTGTATTACCCTAAGAGGGCTATTTGCTGGTTTTTTCTTCATTTAAAGATTCTTCAAAAATTTCAGGAAAAATATATTTGTTGAGGTAGAATTTTGCTTCTAAGGTTTTCTTAGACTGTAAATAATGGTTCTGGAGTTGAAAGGTGAGACTGAGTGTTTGAAACAAAACTGCAAGATAAATGGACGAAGGAGCATGAAAGATCTAAAAATTGCCTTCTTAATATGTTTTATTGTCAAGTTTCGTAAGTGTCTTTGTGTGAGAACTCACATCGGTTGGAGAGGAGAACAAACGACGCATTCCTTATAAGGGTGTGGAAACTTCTCCCTAGCAGACGCGTTTTAAAACCGTGAGGATGACGACGATACATAACAGGCCAAAGTAGACAATATTTGCTAGCGGTGGGCTTATTATGCTGTTACAAATGGTATCAGAGCTAGACACCGAGCGGTGTGCTAGCGAAGATGCTAGGCCCCTAAGGGGGTGGATTGTGGATCCCACATCGGTTGGAGAGGGGAACAAAGTATTCTTTAGAAGGGTGTGGAAAGCTCTCCCTAGCAAACGCGTTTTAAAACTGTGAGACTGACGGCAATACGTATCGGATCAAGGCGGATAATAGCCCTTTGGATTTCTTTCCTCACATTCACATCCTACTCAAACTGATATTGCTATCACCTTCCTTTCAGTATGACATGGAGGAGATGTGTATTAGATATTTTTTTTTCTTCACTTGACCGATAAACTTCGACTACTAGATCGTAATAACTCGTGCATTTTGCAGATTGTATTAAGCACGATCCAGAAGTGAGTCAAGACACAGAAAAGAACTTCGCAGACCTATTGTTAGAGGAGCTGAAGCTAAAGGAAACCGAAGCTTTGGAAAATCAGCGCCGTGCTGATATGGCTCTGCTCGAGGCAAAGAAGATGACATCTCAGTATCAAAAAGAAGCAGACAAGTGCAATTCTGGGATGGAAACATGTGAAGAAGCTAGAGAGAAAGCTGAAGCAGTATTAGCTGCACAGAAGAGATTAACAGCAATGTGGGAGCAAAGGGCTCGCCAAAGGGGTTGGAAAGAAGGCATGGCTAAGTCTCGTACTCAAAAACAACCAAATATTCAAACTGCATAGACAGAGCTTTCAAACAGTAACACTTCCTTCCTCACCTTTTTGTTTTCATATATATATATATATATATATATATCTTCTGGTAGTAACTTAAATTTTACTCGGCGTCACGACGAAGAAATAGATTGAAACGATTCTTGTTTAGCTAATTGAAATGTCAATTACCATTGTTAGTGAATCATAAGAAAATGTTCATCTGGTTTGTCATCTTTCTTGTCAATTTAAAAAGATTTGTGGCTATTTAGTTTCAGAGTTTAAAAGGGTCTGAATTTTACCTTAATTTGTATTTATTTATTTATTTATTCATTCCAAATGTTCCCATTTTGGATCGAACTTGGGAATCATACATAAGAAAGGCATGATGTAGAAGATTGCAGCTCTGAGTATGATTCACTTTCAATTAGGCTTTTGGAGTGCTGTAATCGAGCCGCCCTCCCCTGCAATTGAATCATACCTTCGAAATATGTAAGCCACAAATACCACCGCCGTCAGCACCACCAAATCCTTCGCTGCACATTGCTTGTTATGCTCGCTGCTCATCCCCGTCTGCGGCCCGTTTGACCAGAACAGATAATCCAGCAGCGCCGCCCCTTTCTCCTCCCTGAACCGGTCCGGCTTAAACGCCTCCGGCTCCTCGAACACGTTGGGGTCCCTCATCACCAGCGGCTGATACCCACAAAGCAGCTCTCCCTTCTTGATCTCGAACACTGCATCGTGCGAACTTAGCTTGAACTCCTTCCTCGCTCTCGCGTATTGGGTCGGAACCGGCGGGTCCAGCCGGAGCGCCTCGTACACGAGGGAGTAAACCAGCTCCATCTCCTTCACGGACTCAAATGTCAGTCCCGACCCGGATTTTGCCCTCACTTCGTCGACGATTCTCTGTTGTAAGCCGGTTCTGTCGTTGAGTATACGGTCCATTAGAACCGGAAGAAAGAGGCTGAATCCACCGTAGGCGTTGAATCCTAAGGTGAAGATAAGATTGTGAATGGCTTCTTCCTTCTTCAACCCGAACTCGGAAACGCCTCGCTGCACCACTTCTTCCCCTGTTTTACAAATTATAAAAATAAAAAAACTACTTTTAATTTTATATTTTCACCACAAAATACATAAAATTGAAGATTTTAATTTTTTATAAATTTATTGAAGTGATGTGACATTAGAGTTGATAGGTAGAAACAAATAAATTCATAAGAAGATTCTAATTAGAAAAAGGAGAAATTATTGAATTGAAAGATGTTAATTATTATGGAAATGTCTGTAAAAATTATAAACATTAAAATAAAATAAAAAAAGAGAAAACTATCTAAAATAATAAATAAAGTTAAAAGTTCCAATTCTTTTTACTATAAATATTGAGCCAACAATATTTTGTCAAATATTTTATATGGGTGGTACCTTCCTTTTCGATGAAATCGTAGAGTCTCCGGTAGCGGCCGGCGATGGGGAAGAAGGGTAATCGGAAAGAATGGAGGAAGATTTCCTCGAGGGGCTGTAAAATGCCGAGGTGGATGGTGGGGACGAGCTGGAGGCCGAGCCAGATGATGACGTCGATGTAGGCGGATTTCGCCACTTCCGGTGATTTTGCAGTATCGGCGCCGGCCAGGGTTTTGGAGAAGAAATTGAAAAGAGCTGGTTGGAGAAGGTTTCTGTAGGTGGATTTTTGGTTGTTTGCGATTTCGGATTCAATGCCGTCCCAAAACGTGGAGAGGTTGGATTCCAGCTCGGGTATCCAAATCTTCGAGCTCCGCCGCAGGATGTCTATGGTGAAGTTCTTAATCTGGGAGTAAAATTGGAACGAGAAAATTAATTATTGAAATGAATGATTTGGAATCTGCAATTAATCATTGAAGAAGACAGAAAGAGATGGAGTGGTTGGGGATTCATATCTGAAATTTTAAAAACGCATACAAAACAGATGAAATAATCCAGAGCCACGAATATTTTGGATCAGAGTAAAATGGGGGGAAATTTCTCAAGTTGAAACCCTAATCGTACCTTCGAGTGTTGAGATTCCGACGGATCCAAATAGGCACACATTCTCATGTTCCCGGTGAAGCTAGTGCTGGGCATGAAATCGCCGACCAGAACATTCTTCTTCTCCACTACCTCCATGTCGAACAGATGCGCAAACGACTTGCAATCGAGAACCGCAATCACTTTCGGATCGCTTAAGAAGAAGGGGAACGACGGAGGGACATTCGTCCTGAAAACCGTGCTCCGATTCTTCTCGATCCGACTCCTGAAGAACTTGTCCGGTCCTTGAAACCAGAAGTAATCGAGGCGGTCGGCGATGGATCCGAACAGCGGCAAGCCATGACTGCCGGGGATGTTTTTGAGCGGCAAAGTGACCGGCGGCGGGGATATTGACGAAGGGATGGAAGGCACTCCGCCGGAGGCCATGGCCACCATCGTAGACATGAGATTTGTCGGAGCGTTTTGAGAGTGAAGTACAGGACGGTGAGATTGGTTGAACCTTGCCGTTCCCGGTAGACTGATGGAGGGAGATTTAAGAGGAGTTTTGTTAAGCAATTGGGGGAGACGAAGAGGGAGAGTGACGTGGCTATTGATCATTTGCTAAACATTAATAAAGATTACAAAATGTGGATAAATAACGGGAATGTCATGGAGTCAAAGACTTTTCCTTTTTTTTTTTTTTTTTTTTTTTATTCGTCCAAAATTATTGGGGTGATAAAATTATAATTATAATTATTATTATTGAATAATAAACTCAATTTAACCCCTCCTTGACACATGGCTTATTGTCGGCCTCTAATACCATTTATAACCGTCAAAACCCATCGTTATCAAATATTGTCTGTTTTGGCCCATTATGTATCATAGTCGGCATCACGGTCTTAAAACATGTCTACTAGAAAAAAGTTTCAACACCCTTATAAAAAATGTTTTATTCCCCTCTCCAATCGATGTGAGATCTTGTAATCCATTCCCTTTCGTAGCTCATCATCCTCGTTGGCACTCATTCCCTCTCCAGGGATCTCACAATCCACCCTCCTTTGGGCCAATGTTCTCACTGGCACACTGCCTCATGTCTACTCCCTCTTGGGTTCAGTGTTCTCGCTGGCAAATCACCCAATATCTTAATCTAATACTATTTGTAATAACTCAAGCCCACCACTAGCAGACATATTGTCCTTTTTAAGCTTTCCTTTCCTAAAGTTTGTAAAATGCATCCATGATATGATGTTATTCACACGTGGTCTATTAAAATATATATATATATTTATATATTATTTATTTTAAAGTTATATATTTCTTTTAAAGATTTCATCTGCTTGTATTTGTGGATTTTTCTTATAATTTTATTTTATATTTTGGAGGGATTTTTTTTTTCCGAATGCCAACAAAATAAAAGTGGCAACGGAATGTAATGAAATTGGCAGTGTCCTTGATATTTTTGAGATGGGAAAACCTTTCTAAATGAATTTGAAACCACTTATTTAAATATTCACGCTACACAAATAAATCCTTTTACAACAAATATATATATATATATATATTTCAAATACTTTTCAATTTGAAATTAAAACAAAAAAACAAAATAAAAGGAGTTGGATTTCTGGTGCGTCAATATATTGATGTTTTGTTTGGTTAGATATGAAGTGAAATTTTTACATTGGTAACCAAAATGGTTGTGTTATAAGTTTAGCTTGAAATTAATTTAATAAACAAATAAAAAAGGGTTACCAGCTAACAGACATGTGAGCTAACAATAATAAATATACATTTAATACCATTTTTTTTCAATATAATTAGTAACAACTAACAATAATTCACTTTTATTTTAGTGTCTTAAAAATGAGAGAGATTAATATTTTCAAATTATTCAAAATAGATATATATTGTTCACATTTATCAATTACAGTTTAATTTGTTTGTTTTTACTTTTTTTTTTTACATAATTATTCCGAGTTACATAATAAACAACTATTTTTAGAATTGAAAATGAGAAAATGAGAAAATAACCCAATTCAAAGGTCATCTAAGCTGTCATGGTATGTGAAAGCATTAATTGGGGCAGTGTGGGAGCCTCCTAAATGCGGCCCTACTCCGGTGTTTTGAAACAATTTAATTCATATTTTTAAATTTAATACAAATTTTATTTTTATTGTAGCTACTAAAACCTGGAACAAAACGCTTTTGTTTTTATTTATTTGAAATTTACCTAAAATTTTCAATTGTAATAAGAGGGAAGAAATTTTAAAAATTAGAAACTACGGCTTTCCTTGTAGTAGGAAGAGGTTAGATCTCATAATTCACTCTCTTAAAACGTGCTCGCTAATACACTGCTCGATATTTGGTCTAATACCATTTGTAACTGTTGGATGATGAAAGTTCCACATCGACGTCCTCCTAATACACTGCTCGATATTTAGTCTAATACCATTTGTAACTGTTGGATGATGAAAGTCCCACATCGACTAATCTAGGGAATGATCATGGGTTTATAAATAAAGAATACTCTCTCCAAACAAAGTCATAAGAGCTCATGTTCAAAGTTCAAAGTGGGGAGAGGTATAGTAATCCAATCCATTGCTAGCATATTGTCTTCTTTCAGATGGGTAAGTGCAGAAAAAACAAGAAGCAAACCCAAAATTTGCCCCAACACCGTACGAGAGTGAAGGTAAGTGCAGAAAAAACAGATGCAGAATAGGCCCTCCTAATTCAATGTTGGCCATCTTGTTCAAGTTCCCTTTGAGATGGGCAATCCCAAATTTGTCAAACCCATTTGTTGTACTTAGAAACAAACAGATAAACTGCATCTTGCTGAGTTCCAAGCATTATATTACTGTACAATAAATTGCAAGCACTATATTATACACTAATTTCATGATGTCATTGCCAATGTTTATCCACAACAATCTTTAAATTCCTAGCTGAGGGTGTTCAAAGAATAAAACCATGCAACACTTGCTACTAAACTCACCAATTTATTCGACCATTCCATTGCATCTCTGCTAATATCCTGCCATGTTGACAATGTTGATATCACATAGCTCTTGCAGGCTGCACCAGAAATTAGCTCTTTTGATGAACAGCGATTTGATGGATGTCCATCTCCTTCAACATCACTGCACGTCCACAAGAATCACATGGCGCTGTTCTAGACCCACAAATGCTTTCATGCTCAGACAGCCCTCTCAGTCTGTCTCGGATGTCCATAGCAGAACTTCCAGCTTGAACCATGTCCCCGCAGAACTGACATGTGATCAGGCGCAGTGGGCAAACCAACGCTTGATGTTGCACCTGTCAACAATACATTGAAGGAAATTTTTGTTTACAACGATAGTAATGGGATGCCTTCGTGAACTAACAAAGAAAATCTTGACTGACACATTTGTAGACTAAATCAAGAAAGATTCATCAGGAAAAGCACAAAGATTAGCTGCTTACCATCTCTTCTTTCTCAAGGACTACTCCACAAGCACATTTGAGTGGTACATGGAACACCTTGTCGTGCTTCTCCATCTCACTTTTCTGAAGAGCTTGTCCACATTTATCACAATGCACATGATTCTTAGCCTCTTCGACTCTAAGGACCACGCCACAGTCAGCATGCTTGCAAACAAAGTTGTGTCTACTGCAGTAAGCTTCATGCAAAGCTATAGTTCGACTGGGTATGTAATGCTTGCAATTCCGACATTCTGCAGTATCCTGGTCTATAAATGTTGATGAAGAGACTTCCTGTCTACCCACTTTATGGTTCGTGACATCCTCGATACTCACTGTGATTTGGTACTTTGAAGTTCCCTTAAATCCATAGACTCCAATGCTATAAGTACCAGCCCCGAAGTTTTTATCTCTAGAGTTAAGGATTAGGACCTTTGAACCAATATCATGCGAAGACCAAGAATGCTGGTGCTGAGTAGGAAATATGAGAGGATGCTTAGAAATGTAAATGTTTGTATCTCCTTCATTAGTCTCAACTTCAAACTTTACTTCGACCCTTGCATTTCCGGAAGAAATTACATCCCATATATCGTTGTCTATGGAGAATTTGTAATATGAATAACACCCTTCCTCAACCATACCAGACTCCTGCTTCTTAAAAGTTAGCAGCTTGAGAACATGCTGATCCATGGTTCCAGAGGGTGAATCAGGACCAACTATGTCAACCTCAATATCTGTTTCTAAAACGGATATACTAGAAGATGGTTTCAACTCAAGAACATTTAACTTGTATGTAAGCTCCCCATAGACAACAGTCAGAATATCACCTTGAGAAAGGGTGGCATGCTGACGAAGACTTGTCTCAAGGATAGCTTTGGGATTTGGCAAGTCCAAAAATCCTATACCTTCTGGTTGCAGCTTTGCATAGGTTCCTTTGGGTAGCCACACATAACGCACTTCAACTAATGGTTTCGTGGAGGAGTCATCCAGAAATAAAGTTCGCCAAACATGAGGAGGTAGTTCAACAAAACCTTCGGCGGCAGTAAACTCCAACACACCTGATCGAGTGGTTCTGTGAGTCTTTTCTTCAGTGACGTCCGAGTCAGAAGGACCTTCTTGATGTACTACCGACAGTTGGAAGTACACAGGTCCCTTATCAAAAGCACCTTGATCAGACAATTCGGTGAAACCAGAAGGGGGCAACTTGATCTTGTCTCCATTACCCTCATAAGGTATAGCTTCTAAAACACGGTAAAAGGTAATTCCTCTTCCCGCAAGCAAGGATTCCTCCATTAGTTGATCAGCCTGGAATGTTCACAGCCTTTGTCAAAAGGGAAAGTGGAAAATCCATGCGTAAAAAAGTGGACAATTGGCAAAATGCCATTTTGGAGAGAAATTTTCAAACTCTAAAATTCATTCTACACGAATACCTATTAACAACACCAGGCAATATAAGGTGAAAATGTCCAAGTTAAACAACAACAATCGTATGGAGAACAAACTACAGCTCTATATCAGGTGATAATTTATAACACATTGATCCTACGTAATTTTCAATTTTTATTAAGTTTCATTCAATACATATCTTTTAGTTAAGATTTTTACACATCCAAAAGGGACCATTTGTCTGCACTATGTCAGCCAAATTTCGACTTTCCATGAAGAAAAGCCAAACAAGATATTAACTTTTCTAGGACTCTTGAGTTCCATACAACTTACGACAATAATAGTTCTTACAAACAATCTTTAAAAATTGTTCCCCCAATCCTGTTATGTTCAGCCTTCTTCCTATGAAATAGATTAAGAGATCATTAAAAATTAGTTTTTGAGCTAGAAATCAGGCTCCAAATATCCTTTTTGAAGAAATAATCCTTTCCTTACATAGATCACTCTCTTTTGTATAAAAAAACTTTGAAGTCAGCTTCTCCCCCTCTTTTTAGCAGATTAGTAATCTCACCATCATCTAACAAACACGTTCACAAAACCAAGCCAGGAGGCATCATGCCAAGCAAGTTAAGCACAAAAGAGGCAACAAAAGCACGTCAACATTCAAGTACATCCCTTTCCCATTCCACAGTCGTTGAAAGTTTTCTAAGTTGTGAACGTTTAGGAGAGCGCATTCTAAATGTTTCCATATCCCGAAAACATCAACCTGGACACAACCGAGGAGCCAAGAATTTTGAAACAACAATAAATACGCTCAGCCATTGCGTTTATTGGGCGATTGCAATTGCATTTCAAGAGACTCAAATACAAGGAACGAACGAATTTTCCTTGCTTTAATCCCTCCAGACAACAAAATAGTCTAATTATCTATCGAATAAATGGATAACAAAACAATATAACCATCTGAGAATAGAGAATGCTTGAAAGCTCGCAGTCTGGATTCAGAACCAAATAGCTTCTTCAGCAATCCAAGAAACAAAAGAGAAAACACAAGAGATCAATGCGTATGCGACCACCATTCACAAGCAAAAAAATCCATCAACATAAACATAGAATCACGATCGACATATCCAAACAAATCGGGCATATAACTCAAAATCTAGAAAACGAAAAAAGAATTCAGCTGTAGAGAGCACCTTAATTCGGGCCTCGGCAGCATCGAGACGTCTTGAAAGTTGAGCCGCTTCAATGGCTTCTCGTTGCTTTCTTGCCTCTTCTTTAGCTTTCCTTTCCCTCTGCACTTTTCGTCTAGCCATCTCCTTCCTTTCCTTCTGCTCTTTCTCGAGCTTCTCTCTCGCCATTCTAAGCTCGAAATCCATCTCCTCCTAATCTGCGCCCTCTTCGTAGCTGAATCTCTCCCCGTGCAAAACTTATATCCGATCGGAAAAAATAGCGAAATTGAAGATTGTTAGGTTGGATTTGGAAGTATTTATGAATTTTTCAGGTGAGGAAACGGAGACGAAAGCTTCCGACTTCCAGAAGAAAAACCAAATCGGATTTTTTGAGCGTCAACCATGGACGGTGGATGGGTCGTAATTGGGCTTGATTCTGGAAGCTTCGATGACCCGGCCCATTTCCCAATTTAGGGCCCAAAAAATGCTTATCATGAAGGAGAAATTTATAACAAACGTGCCTTCCTTCCCACACAGTTTAGAAGGAAATTAAAGAACATTCGGCCTAATACGGTTCCTAAAACAAAATTAATAAAACTTTTTAAGGCTTTTTGCTTATGAATTTAATAGGTCACCAAAAATTTCATTCCAATTCATGTTCTATATTTTAATTTTGTTTTATTTCAACTTTTAATTTTTTATCTATTAAATTATTGATATAATAAAAAAATATCTATTACATAGAAAATTTATTTTTATACCTAGTCAGACTTTAAACTTTGAATGTTTGTCTTACATTAAATGCAAAAAAAAATTTCCTTGAAAACGAAATCTAAAAATTGAGGCATTTTTCAACGCTTTCAGATTTAAAATTTAAAAATCTTGAAAGCATGGAATACACCACTTTTGACAAAATCGTTCCGTGATAAAAGTCTCACGTAGGCTATTTTAGGGAATGATCATGAATTTATAATCAAGGAATATTCTCTCCATTGGTATGAGGCGTCTCACGTCGGCTATTTTAGGGAATAATCATGAATTTATAATCAAGGAATACTCTCTCTATTAGTACGAGGCTTTTTGGGGAAGTCCAAAGCAACGCCACGAGAGCAAAAAGCTATGAGAGTTTATGCTCAAAGTGGACAATATTATACCATTGTGAAGAGTCGCGTGATTTCTAACATGGTATCAAAGAACTCCAAAATTAAGAAGAGACTCACTTTGTTCGAAGGGATGTGTTGGTAGATGAAAGAACCAAAATTACGTGCTTCCAATTTTGATATATATATATATATATCAAAACTTTATACTTTATTAAAAAAATAAAAATAAAAATAAAAAATAAAACTCTATAAATTACTTTGGAATTAACACTAATTTGAAAGAGATAAAAGAATGATTAATTAATAAATTTAAAAAAGAAAAAAGAAAAAAAAAAGAAAAAAGAAAAAGAAAGGGGGAGTAATTATAATTAGGAATAGATTACATAGGTTGACAAGGTTCATTAAATTGGCCAAGAATTGTGTGGAAGTTATCCAAAGCATCTTTTGCAGCTCGATTTTGTGCAATGAGCTTCTTCCCATAGCTTCCTTTTCCAACCAGCTGCTTGTCTATCAAAACGTGGATCTCCTTTCTTTCTTCCCACAAGTCCACGAATTCCCACTTCAGGTTCCTTTTTTGACACATTTCAGTCAGCTCAGTCATCGGGTGCCTTTTCATGGTCTTCAATGTTATCAATGGCTCCATTAGACCCTTGAATATCTACACAAATCAAACCATCCTATACTTCAATCAAAACTTACCATTATAACTCAAAATTTTCATCCTTCTTCTTCTTTAAATGTATTTACCGTCCAAACTGTGTCGATCGAGTTACTATCTGTGAAAACTGCTCCGATGCACGATTCAACTATGTCCGCTAGAATCTTTGGAGCTTTAATCAGTCCGTTCGAATGCAATGGGTACTCCTCTATATTCTTACTAAACTCTTCTATCTGTCGTCGCACACACAAAATTTAAATTAAAAATTGGATTTACATGTTATTCCAAAAAAAAAAAAGACAAAGACAAAAAGGGAAAAAATAAATTATTCTATTTTAACCTATAATAGTTTTTTTTTAACAAATGATTTTTAAAATTTAATTTTAATAAAATAATAGAAGAAATAGGGTTTCAAAACAATTAACGCTACATTTAATTTTCACGTTAATTAATAAGATTCAAATATTTCAAAAGAATAAATGTAAGAGCATGCCCTAAACCGCAATTAATTTTCATGAATTATCACGCATTTTTAATTAATTAATTACTATTACTGTCACTTTATATTTCGTTGAATCAACTAAAAAAATTGTTTACCTTTATATAAAAAGAATTAAACGAATATTGACTAATTTAAATCAAACATAAGAGGTTTTTCCAAAAAGAACAAAATTCAAAAGCAATTTTAGGAAAGAGATGGAATATATTTCTCTCCGATTTTACTACTAAAATTGCACAAAAATATATATATATAAAATAAAGATTTTGGAAAAGGAAAAAAAAAACCTTAGAAAAAAGAACGAAATTATATTTAAAAAATAATGGTTATGGAAAAAATTTATGATTAAAATCGAATTAATTATATTTTCAAATATCTAAATTTTAGTTCATATAATTTTAATAAATCATAAATTATTAATCAAATACTCAAATTGTTTGAATTAAATTTAGGCGATAAAAAATATATTTAAGATTTAAGATTTTGAAACAAAAATTTAAGAATTGAAAATTTTTAAAAAGATATAAAATTGAAGAAGGAGAAGGAGAAAAGAAATATCGTAATTAGTGGGTTGGTTAACAGTTAATGATCATAATTATGAAAGAAGAAAACAGAGGAAATCCAGAGAAATCGATGAAAACGATGAAAAATCAAAACAATCGGTACTTACTTTCTGATCAAGATCAGCCTTGTTGTGGCGAAGATACCGATGAAATCCATGTGTAATCGCAACACGAGCCAGCTTTTCGGTGTCCACATTCGCCGCTCGGAGACGAGTCAGTGTACCGGGCGACAGATTAGGATTCGAGAAGTATTGCTCTCTGGTTATTAGAAAATTCAACACCGAATCGCCTACGTACTCCAATCGCTCGAACGACGAGCAATTTTCCGGCGAATACGACGCGTCTGTGAAAGCCTCCTCCAGCAATCTCTTGTCTCGAAATTCGTACTTAAGGATAGCTTCCATTCCGTCCAGACTCGCCGCCGTTGACTCGCCGCCTCTGCCTTCCTGCTTCAACAAATCGCCGCCGTCTCCCCCTCCTTCCATGAAGGAAATTTAGGGATTCTGGAACGAATTTTAATTTAATTCCGTCTATTCTTTTTCTGTAAGTGTATGAAATATCTGTCGTCCTTCCGCCCCTACAAAGGTCAAGAGACACCGTATTTATACAAGCCGTTTATATTGAATATTTATTTGATAGACTATTTTAAATTATATCTAATTTATTAAATTTAAATTTGATTTATCTTTAACTTTGGAAAAAATATTTTCGAATTTTTATTTTATCTTTTCTGGTGATTCATTTGATAGACTATTTTAAATTATATCTAATTTATTAAATTTAAATTTGATTTATACTTTTGAAAAAATATTTTCGAATTTTTATTTTATCTTTTCTCGTGATAATGACAATATTTATTTATTTAAGTTGAATAATATATATTAGTTAAAAGAAGACTTTTTCTCTACCTAAATACAAAATAGAGAGGACCTTATCAACAAGAGGGAGAGAAATAGTCATGTATGAGGGATTAATAATGTTATTATTATAGAGTTGAGAATCATGTGAAATCAATAAATACATTTATTTTCCTTTTTGAAAAAATAATTACTAACATATATCTAAGTTTATTGGTCCTTATTACAAAAAAAATATTTATATTTAGGGCAGATTTTTTTTTCCATATTAATTAGATTGAAATAAAATAAAATAAAATATGAAAATACTGTTTTAACCCCTACTAAAATAAAAAATACTCTCAATCTCATCATTGGGCCTGTGACCCAAGGTCGCCCTAGTATATGTTGATCAAGGCTTAACTCAAGCCCAAAGTTTGTCTTACTTATATTTATTCATAATTAATAAAAATATTTTGAAAAGTGAATGAGCCACCTGTATATACAACCGCTAGACCATGAGCATAGCTAAACGTTAGATTACTATCACCCATATATAGACATTGTTTTAAGCACATTAGCTCGGGCTAGGCCGAGCTTTAGCCTACACATTTTATGGTTGAATTAGATTAGGTTCGTTCAATGATGAGGGTGAGCTACCACCGTTGGAACACCACGGCAACCTTCATCACTAGTTATCGCTGCCATTACTGTCACAAATTTTAATAAGCAACCTTCATCACTAGTTATCGTTGCCATTACTGTCACAAATTTTAGTAACGTTATTGACTGTCATTAGAGATTATTGACCTCACTCCACTGTTGTGGTTGTCGACTATCGAACAGTCGAATATTGTGTTTTAAATACAAATTTAAAATTGGTATCAATTAAGAGATTTATGTTGTGTTATGAAAATAATTTAATTGAATAGTTAAAACATCTATTTTTTTTTTTTAAGAGATTATTAATTTGAATGTTTCTCCCGAAAATACCTTAAAATGAATTTTTTTTTGTCGGAGGATTAATAAAAGAATCCTTGTAAAATGAAAAATAAAGATATATGTGTAACGAAAACTATGGGGCATGAGATCCAACATTGGGGCATATTGATGAGATCCAACGTTGAACAACTATCTAAAAGAATCAAAAGCCTTCCCCTACGACTACCTTCACCCCACCCCAATAAAGACCTCTCACTGTAGTATGCAACAATAAGATATAAGTTTTTGTAGCACGTTACACTGAAGTCATGGGTGAGAATTGGTCCTATGTTTCTAATGAAACCCATTCTAAAGGTGTGACGGGCTGTGTGTACCTTTTTGTAGCACGTTACACTGAAGTCATGGGTGAGAATTGGTTCTATGTTTCTAATGAAACCCATTCTAAAGGTGTGACGGGCTGTGTGTACCGGACCCTGGTACATATTCACCACTCAAATTCGTTAAAAGAATTTATAAGATGTGATTAAAATGAAACCCTTATTAATTGAATGCATTAATTAAAAAATTCCAAATTTGGAGAAGACAGTATATAATGTCTCAAAGTTATGGGTATACCAACCATCTGTTTGTCCCCTTTTTCCATCTCTTTATCACACTTCCTTTTTACATCTCATTCAATCTTCTTTTTAATTATATATATATATATATATATATATTGAAGGTAGAAAATGAAGTGAATAATTATACTGAGCATAGGATTATTATTGAGTTGAGATTTTCCCTTCACCAACTTCTACTTTACTCCATCATAAACCCTCATTATGGTCAAAATTCTCAACTTTTTCAACTTCTATATATATATATTTGTATATGTTGCAAATTCAAATTCTGATGATACGATTATAATATTATCTTTCGAATAAAATAAAAAATACATATATAATCATTAAAAGAAAAGAAAAAGGTAGCATAATTACAGTGAATTATTTGCATTCAAGAACGTCTATATATTTTGAAGCTCAAGCACACACTAGCTTCCTTTGCAATTCACACTAAGATTTACTGGAAAAGAGAGGACTGTGGCCTCCATAATCAAACCTAATAATTATATATATATATATATATATATATATATATATATATATATATATATATATATATATTTCATTAGTTAATTTAGGAAATAGTCATGAATTTATAATAAAAAAATACACTCTCCATCACGATGAGACATGTTGGAGAAGCTCAGAGCAAATCCATGAAAACTTATGCTCAAAATAGATAATATTATACATTGTGGAAGGTCGTGTTCATCTAACAACTTATACAAATATTTTATAAATATGTGAACTTTTTTCCTTATTCTTGGTTATTTATATACGATTTATTTCTTCAAAATATGTCAAAAAGGAATGATTTAGGGTAAGAAAACTACTCAAGGAACCCACTAACCAAAAATGGGAAAAAAGGAAGAAGTTTTATGAGTTCTATATATGCTAGTCTTCCTCCTTGCTCAACCAATGCCTCGTCTCCACGTGGCATGTTACACTTATTTAAGATATTGTATTGATAATTAGACTAGTTTATAAACTCAGCATTTGGTTAATTAATTAATTAGCCGACCATGTTTTAGAATATAAGCATCGTATGATCATAGTGTCTTTGATTAATTTCCCCTTTAATCAAGTGCGTCGACGTCAAATCTTTGACTTTTTTTAATTTTAATTTGATTATGACTAAACTACCTCCCGTCCCACTTGATTCCTCGCGTTAAATCAAGTGGCAAGTACTGGTAATTTAGTTCCTAATATAAGGGTATTTCCGTCTTTTTGCCACATAGAGACAATTCCCAACTCGATTTAATTTCTCATGTGTGTGAATCAGTGCGTGTTTTAATCCTCTGCACGTCGCTTTCGTATGACCCCACCATCTGACTCTAATTTCATTCCATTCAACGGCTCCGATCATCCCGAATCCAAATGCTTACAGCGAAGCGTACGTACGGGAACATAACCCTCCCCCCCCATCTTATATATCAGAAATCTGGACGGCTACAAATCCAAACATTTTATTTCTTCATTTTCCTTTCACAACATGACTCATTTCCACCTCAGTCTCGTTCTCGCCATTTTCCTTCTTCTCACTCCGACCACCACCGCCACCGCCGCCTCCGCCGCCGCCCAGCCAAGGATTCTGATGAGAAAACAAGTGGTTTTCCGGCCGCCGTCACCGTCACCATACAAATTCACAAACTATGAAGAACAAAAGCGAAGAGTCCCAACAGGATCAAACCCTTTACACAACAAACGGTGATTATTATCTCACAAACTTCTGATATTAAAACTATATTTTTACTTTTTACGAATTTACCCACTTTATTTTTTATTTTTACTTTTCACTCCCAAGCTAAATTGGGTTATTTAGAATTTATGTCTAATTTATAGAAGCTTTTAGAGAGAGCGTAGAGATGTTTTTTGAGGAAACCCATGTAGAAAATTTTGGTGTTTGTAATTTTTGCAGCTCTAATTATACAATATTAACCCATGTATATTAAATATATAGACAAAATTTTCATTATTTCTTTCTTTTACTTTAGTTACGTGAAATAATTACTGTTTGAAATCTCTACTTATGATCGTGATTGTATGTTCAAATGTCTTCTTGAAGCTATCTCTAGTAAAAAAACGCTCTCACATTTTTAAGCGGTTGAAGAGTCATTTCTAATCAGTAGAGTATCAGTTTTTCCTACCATTTTGACTTTTGTGACGGGTTTTTAAGGGTTGATCAAGCTCAACATCGATAATATGAACAAAACCCATCATAAAATTGGAAGGTAGATTGGAAACTTTTATGTTTTAACTAAAATGTAGAAGTTTCTTTATCGATCATTAAATACTCGATTTTAATACCCATAATTTCCCACAACTACCGAGCAATTAATTAAACACCCATCTTCTTCTTCATCTTCATCATCGATTTTGTGAGTGAATAGATCGGAACTTTATTATCTTAAGCTTTGTGATTAAAAGCTACGAAACTTAGGCTAAATATGGCAATGGAGGGCATTAATAAATGTATGTTTAAAGAAATTCAATATAATGTTAAGAAATTAAACCTAAAATAATAATTATTCTAAGGAGGTGTTTGGAAGTGGGGGCAATGGTCCACCATAGATGTGTAGTATATTTGAGTGCTAGCCACTGTGAGGAAATTGGGCTAATGCACTTTCCAAACAACCCCTTCCACCAACCACTCTTTTTTTCTTTCTTTCTTTTCGGGTTAGTTTTTAAAACGTGTATGCGCGTGTGAAAAAATTTAGAATTATTGTGTATTTGAATAGAATTTATATTTTACCTTTTTGGAAATAGTATCTGTAATATTCTCCCACACGAGTTTGAATTCGATCATTTTTCTCCTTTTGCAAACCTTTTCAGGGTCGATGGATAAAATTTAAAGAATAAAAATGACGAAAAGGTCACTCGGGATTGTTAAGTTTGTGTTATCTATAGTAAAAAAATCAACTTTATATTTAATATAGTTTTTAATTTTTTTTAATAAAAATGATTACATGTATTAATTAACTAATATATAAGTTAGCTGTTAATTTTGACTCATAGTAAACTAATTTTTTTATAAATATTTTAAAGAGAGAAAAAGAAACATTTAATATATGATGATGTGTGCAATTATGAAAGCAATACGTCAAAAATATTTAAAATATAATTTTGGATTAAAGTAAATATTAATATATACTATTAATGTAAAGATTTACTTAATTTATTAGAAATCATGAACACTACACTACATACGATCGTCGAACCGTTGATTAGCGGCTGAATTTCACAGTTTTCTTAGATTTTTATAAGAAAACCCAAGAAGGAATGCGAAATTTGTAAAACTATAAATAGTTCTTGTTGTAAGATCTTCAGCCACTCATAAGCGCAACCGAATTCTGGCAAATTGGAGTAGGCAGGAGAACGATGAGCTTTTTGGCCGGAAGATTAGCCGCCAAAGAGGCGGCATACTTCATTCAGGAATCCAAACACGCCGTCGGCCGCCTTGCCCAGAAATTTCCGGCGCAGCCACCGCCTTCTTCCCATTCCACGACGGAGGGCGAGTCGCAAGCCGACATTCTCCCTGAGGTCTTAAGGCACTCTCTGCCCTCTACATTCTACAGGGAGCAATCTGCAGACTCTCATGGATCGCTCTCTACTTCGAAATGGGTTCTTCCTTCGAACCCTAATTACCGCTCTGTGTCTTCAGATTCTCTCAACCCTCTTAGGGCTTTCGTCTCCCTTCCCCAGGTTTCACTCGGCCCCAAAAGGTTCATTTCTCTCCTAATTTTATTCTGTTTCTCCCAATTTGATTTGTTTTGGCTTGGATCATAAATGTCATGTTGAATTCAGGTGGGAATTGCCTCAATCTGGAAACTCAGTATTGGCCTCAACCGCTAATGACTTGCGGACCGACAAGCATACTCCGATCAATCCTGAGAAGTTGAAGGCTGCTGCCGAAGGCCTTGCACATAGTGACCTCCTAAAACAGAACACTTCTCTGTTTCTCTCCCTGTTTCTCATCCTAACTCATTAGACCTTTCGTATCCGTGTAGTTGGAAAGGCATTTGCTGTAGCTACTGCGCTCGTCTTTGGTGGTGCCACCCTAATCTTTGGAATCACCATGTCCAAGCTAGATCTAAACAATGTAAACATGGACAACTCTTGGTGATCTTTGTATATGCACATACATTTCTATTTAACTATGATTTTGACAGGCCAATGAGATTCAAACAAAAGGAAAAAGCATGATTGAACCAAGGATGAAGATGATCAGAGAGCAACTGGTTCCCTTCAAAGTCTGGGTATGTTGTTATATCATTTATGATTCTCACAGCATTCACCTGTTGCTGGATCTAACCGGATTTTGTTCGAGTTTTAGGCTGATGGCATGTCAAAGAAATGGCATGTGGAAAGAGAGAAAGATATCAAAGAGAAGCCTCTCATAAAGGAACTATCAAAGACTTTGGGTGCCAGAACTCCCAACTGAACTGTACAATTCTTTTCACCTTCTGTGTTCATCTTATATATCTGTAAATAATAGTGTGATATTCAGATCTTCACATATGGAGTGTAGAATGTTACTGCTAGCTAGCTAAGTTATACATAACACCAATGTTGCTATTTATGTCTGAGGTTGAAAATATAGAACAGACTTGTTCTTCATAGTTCGTAATCTAAACCAGCTCCATACTTCCAGGCCTCGAGTCGTCGTTTCCACTCGAAATTCATCTTTGGTGTTAGTGAACTTAGGAACGGCCTTGAAAAACACACGATTTGGTAAAATTATAGAAGAAAACTGAACCGAATGTTTCACGAAAAAGAAAGGTGGAAAAGGTTTGGCTTTGTTTGACATAACCCGTAAGGACCATTTACCTTATAATCGGATCGACAAATGTCGAGAGAAACGTGTAGTAGCCAAGCATGCCGAAATGTCCAGACCAGTCGAGCAACACTGGGATGCCAACCTAGAGCTCAATAAAACAAGATTCAATATCTGTATGGAAACTGAGTCAACAAAGAGAAAAGCTTCAATGATCTCAAAATATAATGGACTTATATAACTCACCTGTTTGAATATTGATGGAAGAAGTTGAGGTTTAGTTAACATAACTAGACCTAGGGTCTGGGTAAGAGGTACAAACTGCACAACATCCTGTCACAATGAAATAAGTTGTCGGTTAAACTATGTTTCGGTTGAATTAACGAACGTGCAGAACTTCCAAAGATTAAGCATATCAAAGAACAAATATGACCTGAAGGAAAGGCTTTAGCACTGGATCCCCCAATCTCTGTGAAGAGAACAGAAGTTTTTTACATCTGAATTGAAGAAACTGTGAGTGTTATTCAATGGATAATCTTACCTGCATACTCTGAAAGTTTACATGAAGAAGCTCATTGATAAAATATGGAGAAATGTTTGATCGTTGCTTTGCAGACATAGCTCTTTGAAATAGCCATGAACTACTTAAATTAGGCTGCAAAAAACATTTATGCTTAGGAAGTTGAATAGTTACACTGAGGGAAAAGTAAATATGTAGCCAGAATTCAGCATGTTAACCAACCATGTAAGGATTCAGCAGTGATAAGCTATCAGAGTCGAGGAAGTTGCCTGTTACAGCTTCATATATCCCTTTTGTAATCAACAAGATACGAAATTTAGTAACTCTTCATATATCCCTTTTAAGACGACTATATAAAGTTGATTTGTTCTTTGTTTTTCCTGTATATTGTAGACTGCTTAGTTCTGTATGCAAGAGCTAAACTCGAGCCCACCGCTAGTTGATATTGTCTTCTTTGGACTTTCCCTTTTGGGCTTTCCCTCAAGGTTTTAAGATGCGTATGCTAGAGAGAGGATTTCACACCCTTATTAGGAATGTTTCGCTCCCCTCTTCAACCGATATGGGATCTCATAAAACATGCGTTCATTCTCACATGCTTGTAACAGAAACAGAACGTGCTAAGTTTGTACAAGGACGACATACCAGTTGACAGCCTCCCGAGGTGCCTAGTCAAGCTCCCAAATCCACCAAATGAAACGGGTGACTGAATGCCACTTGCATCTCCAAACTACAGAGAAAGATTTAGTACTCTGTACGGATATACCGTTTTGACAATCAATCTTTTTCAGTTTTGAAATGGTACATCTACATTACCTGTAGAACACGATCAAAAGCAGCTGGCAGCGGGCTGATTAAGTTAAGTGTATCAGATCCTAAATATTAGATTGTGTAGTCCATAGAAGGGGGGAAAAAAGAAACTATTTCAAGTTCTATAAAGATCATTGTACCTGTCACGATAAGTCGGAAAGATGCCATAAATAATTCTCAATATCTTCAAGTCATCAAGAGAGACTCCCTACCATGGAAACTTGTTTAAAACTATTATAAAAGCCATTGAAGTCTTAAGGGGAATGAATGAGATGTTCATATTGAAATCAGCATGATATGTAAACTAGAAGATAACCTGATATTTTGGCATCAAATCCCAGTATTCTTCTAAAAGGTCTTCAAGTTTAGGTGACCCTGGTTGAGGATCGATATATGTAAACATGTAAGTAGTTCGATCCACAGGCCCCGACCCGGCTGGAAACGCCTGTCAAATTGTAAGAAAACTTGCATCTTCAGCAGGAAAAAGTCTATACTGCTGTCACAAAAACAAAGCTTACTCACCTCCCAGAAAAGTTGAACTTCTGAGGTCCCAACCTTTTTTAAGGATGAACTGCTGTAAATGACATCACTTGTTGAGTTGTCCTTAAACCCACGAGCACATGATCCAACAACAAGACAAACACCATCAGGCTTCCTCCCACGTCTTATCTGCAACATGACTATATGCAACATTGTGAGGCCATAAATGGGTTATGTAGCATTCATATATTACAAACTTTTTCTGAAATAAGGTAGAACTTTACCTGTTTCACCACAGGTGAAAAATTCCCCATTGCATCAATTGTGAGTTGAGAAGATAAAATGTTCCCATCAGAGAGTTGCATCACCTTTGAAAAAACAAAAGGAATAACAACATGAACTTGCAGCTTTGGCAGCCGTATTGTTAAACAAGTTGTTGCAATAAATGGTATTTTCCAACAATGACCCATTTCCTAGCTACCCACACCTCTCATCATCCTTCAATATGATAGCAGGATCAAATTTTTAGAACCAAAATCAACTCACAGTCATATCATCGTATATGCAAAGGCTTAAAACGTTGCATCCCTCAAAGATGACTCCACCTAGAGAAATGAAACGTTTCTTCACGATCTCTATAAGCTTCTCAGGCCTGCAATGGCAGAATAACCGATTCAGATTTACAGACTGAGTTTCAGTACGTATATATATAAGCAAAAAGAAAGAAAAGAACTCACGAGATACCAAGATTGAGGATGTCTTCAACCCAGATTTCGCCTTTCCCTTCGAATGCACATCTGTTCTGCAATTTGTAATAGTTCAAGTTGCAGAGAATGTTTGCATACGTTATTGTTAAATAAGCTTGATTTACTTACAGGATTAAACTTCATAGCAGTAGCTTGTTCAATGTCATCTTCTGTTAATACTCCAACTTCAACGAGTTCTATCAGCTCTTTCCTTGAAATGTTCCATTCTTGTTCCCTCTGTCACAACCAACAAAAAACTGTCATTAGAAAGTCCATTTTCATTGATTAAACTCCATTGTCAAGAACATTTACCCCTTTCAGAACATTTCTTTCCACTATACCGACACGAAGACCCTTCAGACTTAAAGCTGTGGCTATGAACACTCCCAAAGTACCTCCACAAACCAACACATCAAATGTGTCGGTGGCTTTCTCTCCCGAATCGGAACGGCTAAACGCACCAGAGAGACGACGGACGACTTCCTGTGCGGCTTCAGGAGCTGTAAAACAAGGAGGAAGTCAATAGAACTGGACCTGCCTTGCCTATGCCCCAACAGCTTAAAAGGATCAAATCAGAAAACTTGTCACCTTCTTGGCCAGAGCAAATTCTGGACCAAATTTGATCCAACCTCTTCAAAGCATTGTATGAGTATGCCCCACCAGCACCACCAACTTCCCCTGAAACTGATATGCCCTCCATTATCCTCTGAAAGAACACATTGCAGCCAGAATTCAAATCGAAGGGATAAATGGGAGAGAGCTTTTCAACCATACATTTCTTGGCTCTGCAGGAGGGTTAGTTTGGAAACCAGAGATGATGTGATTGTGCAAAAGGCGTACCTGGGTTCTAGAAGAGGTGAACTGGGTTTTTATATTAGCTTGAATTCTGGGGTTCTTAGCAGCCGTTGGTGTATGCAAAAACGATCTTCCAATTGGGTTCGCAGGCAAGAGATTGTGGGATCTGAAATGAACAGAGGTCATGGCTGAAATATCCACAGATAGACCACCAAACTTCCGACCCTTCTCTACGATTTCTTCGATTTCTTCATTTATCACTCTGTCGCTGAGATTGGTATGGGTATTGAACCATTTGCGAACAAGAAAGGTACACGTTAACGACTCATCGTCCTCGTAGCCCAAGAGATTTTGGATAAACCAGTTAGTTCTATGACTTCTTCGATTCTATAACTCTCTTCCTTTTCATTTCTTCAAATTTGCAGTAAATTTTATAGTAACCTTTTGATCCTATTTATCTGAACTCCTAATCTTACAACTCTAATCATTTATGCAAATTTCATTTTTATTTTGATGAGGCCTAAGCCCAATCTGATACTAGATTTTGTATAGGCCCAACCTGATAGTAGATTTTGGATAGGCCCAATCTGATACAGTCTTGCTTCGACCCTGCAACTGCTGCTTTTTCCTCCTTCCATGATCTCCTTCTTCCCTCCAACCATTCCTCGATTATTGTCATGGGCGTATGAGTAAAGGAGTTGCTGCTTGTTCACTGTATAAAGTATCATCCGGACGGCTTATTCAATAACATTGTTGAAGGAGCTGCTGCTCGTTCAATCTCTGTGAAAAAAATTGCGACCATGTTCACCCGTTTCTTCCCTTCATCAACCACACGGGTTGTAAGTTCTCGTATCTCCGTCTTGAACGGAGTTGACGAGAACTTGCAACCCCGTGTCGTTAATGAACGGAGGAAACTGGTGAACATAGTCGCCATTTGTTCACAAGATTGAACAATTAGTAGTCCTCCAATAATGGTTTTGAATAAGGAGTCGAGGATGTTTTATATAGTGAGGTAGCAATTGCTTTTCAGGAGAATATGTTTTTTGAAATAAATTTAACTTAGAACCATATTGAAACATATCTGGAAGTTAAAAGGTATTTTAAGTGTGTTCAGAGCTGCCCATTTTTTCCAAAATTATAATTATAAAATTGATATATCATTATTATTTAATATTTAATAATTACTTGGAATTGAAACTTGTAGCATTAAGTTGAAGTGAAATTAAAATTGTGATATAAAATGAAAAATTTTGTTTAGGTCCATTAGAGGAAAATTTTAAAAAAGAAAAGAAAAGTGTAGAGGGTAAAAGGAAGCATTGATTTTACCACAGAAAAACTCTCTAGCTTCTGACACGTGCTTGGTAAAAATCTCCAGGCTTCTGACATGTAGGTTTGGTAAGGTTAGAAAGTAAAAAAGTAAAAAAGTAAAAAGAATGTGGGTTTGTGTGATGGTAAAGTTGAGAGAGATTATTGAATATTTTTTGGATTAAGGTTTAATAATTTTATATGATGGTAAAAACATTCATTTTTATAAGTTGCGAAGGTAATTTAATCGTTTGGTAGAACAAATTTGATTTCAAGAAAGAAGAGATCGGATTGTATTACTATATTTTTATAGTCTACGTGTGAGTAAATCAGGTTCCATTTGGATGGAAACATACATGTAAATGAAATAATCAAGTAAAAGGAAATAAAAGAGGAGTACAGTTAATGAGGATAAAATATCCGCTACGTTGGCCAAACAAGGAGTCCCACTTAGAGATTCAGTCGAACTACTATATCTTGCGCGGTTCGAGGGGTCCCGTCATATGAACAGTCAGTGAGGATTGCAGCCATAATAAAAATTGGAGGGATAAATGGGGGAGAGATTTTCAACTCTACATTTCTTAAGGGTTCTTAAGGGTTCGTGTGGGTAAAAACGATCTTCCGATTGGATTTGCAGTGAATAGATTGTGCGATCTGAAATGAACAAAGGCCATGGCTCCGATAGAACACCAAACTTCCGACCCTTCTCAACGATTTCTTCCTTTATCAACTCTCTGGCTTTTTTATTTTGATGAGGCCTAGGCCCAATCTGATAGTAGATTTTGATAAGTCCAGTCATGCATCACTTACCTAACCGAGGCGAGATACTCTGAGCTGGACTAAAGGAATTCATATGGTCTATTCTAGACGGTCTATAGAACCTATAACCTAGGCTCTGATATCAACTTGTAACACCCGCTCATCGACAATGTAATTAACCGGAGTTACCATCAACACTAATAACAAACTCTGACAACCAATCATAAATTTTTCAAACATTTATAACATTGAGTAAAATACTACAAAACAGTTTTGTTTAAAACATTATTAACCAACAAAAATCTTAAACAACGAAAAACATAATTACATCAACAAACCCAGACATGAATTCCCAATAGTCTCTAGCCCGTTGGTCTCGTCTTCGATTGGCTTGCATCACCTAAATCTGGAAAGAAAAGTTGTAATAATTTTGATGAGTAATTAGATTACCTATGAGTAGCTAGCTTATCTTTACTGAGTTCATAACTAATCTTTCAAGGTGTTTTAAAGTTTTATTTGCCATTGACTCCTAGTTTCTCTCTTACTACGGTAATATGTTCATTAATAAGGTATCTCAGCTACCTCCAGCTTAGGTTACTGACTCCCTCTCGATATGCTTATTTAGAATTTTCGGACTCGTATGTAAGACTCGCTCTCGGTCAAATACGACCTGTCTACTAATTTATCTGGCGGCCTGTTTATCTCATATACCAACGGTTAGGAGTACTCATGCTCTCTGACTCAGCACACAGCGCGTTGGTCAGGAACTCCGCGGGAATTAGTAGACTACAATACTCATATAAATAGGCCATGACACGCAATCTATAACATTTTAGTAATCCTTTATAACATGCTTACATCACAGGCAAGCAGTCACAATATACAACTAGACCATCAATAATCAATATCATCATAGCACATAACAACATACTAAGCTCTTAATCAGGTAAACAACATACTCACATGTTGTAAAACAAGTTAAGAACTAGTTCAAAGATCGATATGCTACTTACTTGGTTTTCGAATCCCTTTTTCCCTTGGATGTACGTTTAATAGGTATTTCAATACAATTCCTTCCTATTAGACCTATATTTTACCAATTTCAAGATACGTATAGACCAATTTTGATATGACAGGTGAAAAGGAGTCGAACGAGACAAATCGGGAGCCAAAATAACTTCACACGCGCCCTCACAAGTTCGGGGTGGTTTTCTCATGCGCCTGGTCCGCGCACAATCGCGCCCTCACTCGTGGCCTCCCACACTCCTTGCGTATACCGTGACACAATCGTACTTTCGAAGGCAGCGGACTAGCGATTGTGCGGCACTCACTTTCTAGCGACAAGTGAGTTAAGCCGATTTGTTCTTGCGTCGCCTATGGCCAAGCGACGTACGATCGAGCCTCTAGCCTCGATTTTAAAAGAAGGTTTTAGAAAACGAGGAGAGAGAGAGATTTTAGAAAGAGAGATTTTGGAAATAGACGTTATATAAGCAAGCAAGAGAAAGATAACAACGGCTTAGCATATATAACCTTGGGTAGGGAGAAGTTGACGACTAGTCATATCCCCCTATAGTACATTTTAAGCCATTTTATGTCTACCAGGCCTAGACATTACGCCCTAGAATTACAAAAGGAAAACACTAGAATGAAAAGACATGACAAGGGTTTGGCTTGTCGTGGGCATGCGGCCATGGGCAACACGCCCTGGACGAGCATGATCGTGACATACCGCATGCGCTTTTTCTTCTTCTTTTGGTTTCCTGCGATTTTTCAACTTTCTTATTAATGCCCGTTATGTCCCGAAGCCATATTCCATCTCTACAGCTCGGATTTCGTTCCGACTTCTTCTACAACTTTATAGATTTCTTAATTACGGTTCTAACAAGCCCTATTTCATAATTTATTATGTAATATGAACCAAGATATCGAGATTTAAAAGTCCAACGATATGGGTTTTTCGTTACCTTCGAATAAACGTTCGATTCAGCTCGTGGCCGTGTCCCCTTCCTCAAAGGATTCCTCAGCAACAACCTCTTGAAATCCCAGAATTTTTCTCCTCCCCTCCTCTGTTTTCTTCCCCTTTATCATCCTTTACTGCAGCTTCTTGACGTGGCTGCTGTGTTTTTCGTTTTTTTTTTCTTATTTACAAATTTTACTATTACTATTAAACACAACAGAAAATAAATACAAAAATACATATTATCATTACTATTTTAGAATTATTACATGTTCTGAGTTTTAGGCTGTGCCAAAACTCCCAACTGAACTGTATAATTTTCTTGACCTTCTGTTGTTCATCTTATATGTCTGTATATAATAGTGGTATATAATCGAGTGTAGAATGTTACTGCTAGCTAGCTAAGTTATACATAAGATCAGTGTGTTGCTATTTATATCTGAGGTTGAAAATATAGAACAGACTTGTTCTTCATAGCTTGTAATCTAAACCAGCTCCATACTTCCAGGCCTCGAGTCGTCGTTTCCACTCGAAATTCATCTTTGGTGTTAGTGAACTTAGGAATGGCCTTGAAAAACACACGATTTGGTAAGAATATAGAAGAAAACTGAACCGAATGTTTCACGAAAAAGAAAGGTGGAAGAAGGTTTGGCTTTGTTTGACATAACCCGTAAGAACCATTTACCTTATAATCGGATCGACAAATGTCGAGAGAATCGTGTAGTAGCCAAGCATGCCGAAATGTCCAGCCCAGTCGAGCAACACTGGGATGCCAACCTAGAGCTCAATAAAACAAGATTCAATATCTATATGGAAACTGAGTCAACAAAGAAATAGAAAAGCTTCAATGATCTCAAAATATAATGGACTTATATAACTCACCTGTTCGAATATTGATGGAAGAAGTTGAGGTTTAGTTAACATAACTAGACCTAGGGTCTGGGTAAGAGGTACAAACTGCACAACATCCTGTCACAATGAAATAAGTTATCGGTAAAACTATGTTTCGGTTGAATTAACGAACGTGCAGAACTTCCAAAGATTAAGCATATCAAAGAACAAATATGACCTGAAGGAAAGGCTTTAGCACTGGATCCCCCAATCTCTGTGAAGAGAACAGAAGTTTTTTACATCTGAATTGAAGAAACTGTGAGTGTTATTCAATGGATAATCTTACCTGCATACTCTGAAAGTTTACATGAAGAAGCTCATTGATAAAATATGGAGAAATGTTTGATCGTTGCTTTGCAGACATAGCTCTCCCATTCAAAAGCATATGTTACATATGTTTATAAGCATGAACAACAAACATGAACAGAGTTAAAAGCACTTAGGAAAAGGCTTATAATGTTAACTTGTCTTCTGTTCCATATGTTACCTATGTTTCATATTTTCATTCTCATTTTTTAAAAAAATGACAACAACTCTTCCACATTTGGTCCGTTCATCAATTTCACCCACTTACCTACCGAGTTACACCATCTCAACCTTCTCTTTATATCCACCCAAAGTTTGTCTAAATTATACTACTCATTAATTTTTCAAAATCTCAAACTCTTATTATCTCCAAACATCTATTAATTTTTCTAATCAATTCTATTTCAACTTTCAACTTAAGAGAAAAGATAGTATACCCAAAAATGCAAACGGGAGAAAATATAGTATGCCAAAGTATGTAGACTGGACAGAAGATAGTATGCCAAAATATGTAGACCAGAGAAAGGAGCTGTGACCTCAATAAAAAATCAATGTCACCCAGGTTGTCTTATTCTTATTAAGTTACTATAATAATAATAATATTTTTATTTTTATTTTTGTGCCGCCTCGTGTTGGATATATACTGGTATTGCTGCCATTAAATCCGCCTACAAAATAAAAAAGGGACAATTCATAGATCTCTCTACCAAGCAACTCATCCATCATTTTTGGCTACATCTAAATAGTGGTGGAGGCGGCGATCTGATATTGTGTTTCAATATGCAATGAAAACGCCAATATTTAGACAAAGTGATTATGGTAACAGGGTTGTTAAAAGAGACCAGGTAAATATTTACTTCATTTAAATTGGTTTTAAATTTTTATTTTCATTGTTGATTTAAACTAACCCATGTCAATCTAATGTAATGTAGACTCTTCAAATACGAAGATTCCAATACTTGAGATTCGAAGAAGAACTAGACTTAATCATGGCTCTATACAGTGGACCTGTTTGCATCTTGATTGCTTCTAGTCACCACAACTTTGAAAGATACAGAGAGGTAAGATTCATTTTGTTATATTAATCAAAATTTATATATATACTTTTTATCTTTTAACATAGAATATTATTATCTACATTCAGGGTATATACCACGGTCCATTTGGATGGCAGTTGGATATACTCCTGACTATATTATCATAAAAAATTGTTGGGGAATATCATGGGGTGAAAAAGGTACATGAAACTCTCCAGAAAGACTTTGAAATATTCTGGAATTTTTAATGATGTGTCTTCTTGTCCAATGGTGTAAGAAGGGTACATGAAGCTCTCTAAGAAGGCTATGAGATATTCTGGAATTTTTGATGATGTGTGTCTTCTTACCCAATAGTATAAGAAGGGTACATGAAATTCTCCAGAAAGTGCTATGAAATATTCTTATCCATTAGTATAAGAATATTTCAGAATATTTCATAGCCCTCTCCGGAGAGTTTCACGTACCCTTCTTACCGTGTTGGATAAGAAGACACACACATCATCAAAAATTTGAGACTATTTCATAGGCTTTCTGGAGAGTTTCATGTACCATTCTTACACTATTGGATAAGAAGACACGTTATTAAAAATTCCAGAATATTTCAAAGTCTTTCTGGAGAGTTTCATGTACCCTTTTTCACCCCATGATATTCCCCAACAATTTTTTATGATAATATAGTCAGGAGTATATCCAACTGCCATCCAAATGGACCGTGGTATATACCCTGAATGTAGATAATAATATTCTATGTTAAAAGATAAAAAGTATATATATAAATTTTGATTAATATAACAAAATGAATCTTACCTCCCTGTATCTTTCAAAGTTGTGGTGACTAGAAGCAATCAAGATGCAAACAGGTCCACTGTATAGAGCCATGATTAAGTCTAGTTCTTCTTCGAATCTCAAGTATTGGAATCTTCGTATTTGAAGAGTCTACATTACATTAGATTGACATGGGTTAGTTTAAATCAACAATGACAATAAAAATTTAAAACCAATTTAAATGAAGTAAATATTTACCTGGTCTCTTTTAACTATCCTGTTACCATAATCACTTTGTCTAAATATTGGCGTTTTCATTACATATTGAAACACAATATCAGGATCGCCGCCTTCATCACTATTCAGATGTAGCTAAAAGTGATGGATGAGTTGCTTGGTAGAGAGATCTATGAATTGTACTTTTTTTATTTTGTAGACGGATTGAATGGCAGCAATACCAGTATATATCCAACAGGAGGCGGCACAAGAATAAAAATAAAAATATTATTATTATTATGGTAACTTAATAAGAATAAAACAACCTGAGTGACATTGATTTTTTATTGAGGTCACATCTCCTTTTCTCAGGTCTACATACTTTGGCATACTATCTTCTGTCCCGTCTACATACTTTGGCATACTATATTTTCTACTGTCTGCATTTTTTTTGTATACTATCTTTTCTCTTAAGTTGAAAGTTGAAATAGAATTGATTAGAAAAATTAATAGATGTTGGGAGATAACCAGAGTTTGAGATTTTTCAAAATTAATGAGTAGTATAATTTAGACAAACCTTGTGTGGATATAAGGAGAAGGTTGAGATGGTGTAACTCGGTAGGCAAGTGGGTGAAATTGATGAACGAACCAAATGTGGGAGAGCTGCTGTCATTTTTCTCAAAAATGAGAACGAAAATATGAAACATATGTAAGATAGGGAAGAGAAGACAAGTTATATAGATGAATAATTAGTGTGATTGCTTTTGTGTGGACATGAAAATGAGGAGGAGGAGGTAGTAGGGAACATATAGGTAGTGTAGATAGGGGATGAGAGAAGAGAAAAAATAAAATCCCAAATTCAGTCATAATGGCCTGGAAAATCTCAGACGTGGAGCAGAGAATATTTTGAAGAAATGATGGGTGATTCTGAATCGACGGCGTCCCAATGAACCAATATGCTGCCATTGCTAATGCTAATGATGCTTTCTTCTTCAACCTATTTATTTAAAAATATATATGAAGAAGAAGAAAGCAAGCGGTTCCAAGCATCTCTGTGTCTGCGTTGTACATGTTTACAACAACACACCACGCAAATCACTGTGCTTTTTTCCGCCGCTTATTAGGTTTGGTAGGTAGTACAGATAGGGGAAGAGAGAACAAAAAAAAAAAAAAAAAATAGTCCAAGGGGAGAACAAGAGTGAGAAAGAAATAAAGCTGCCTGAGTTTCCATATTTGACGGAAACCTACATCTTTTATCGGTAGATGAAACAATGAATTAAAAGGAAATGAAGGAGAGGAGTGCAGACATTCATGAGGGGGAAAATAAAATCAAATCAAATTCGAATAAAAAAGTAATGATTAAAAAAATATGTTATTATCGTACAAGATGATAATTACTAAAACAAAATAATTCATAGTAAAACATGCAATAAATCACAATAATAATTTTGAAATTAAATAGGAGAGAGTTAGAGAAAATGACACCGTAGTTTTACACAGTGGTTCGGTCAAACTCGACCTACTCCACTCTCCAAGCGCCTCTTGGGAATTTGAATAAATAACTTTCTCGACTTTTTCCACTGATCAGAGCCAAACCGCTGCACCGCTCTTTTTACGAGTTCAAGAGCAAACTCAATCCTTTCCACGGCGTATGATCAAACCGATACAAGTATTTGAGTTTGATAATAACACACCACAACTCTCTCACAACTATTTTCTCACAATACAATAATAATCCCTCTCAAGAATAAGATGGAGAGAAATAAACTTTAAGCTTGGAGAGAGTAACAAACAATGGAGACTTTGAACAAATGAGGATGGGAGAATGGATGGGAGAATGTATGTAAGTTGTGTATTTTAAAATGTGGAGGAGATAGTTTATATAGAGGAGAAAAGTGGTGTATGATTGAATATTGGCCATTGGATTGTGTTAGGAATAATGGAAGGTGGAGATTAAAAGTAAATAAATAAGAAATTTTTTTAATTCATTTATTTCAAATTTTTAATATAATATAATAATAATAAGAGTGATGTGAGGTTAAATGAAAATTCAAAATTTATTATAAATATAATAATATACTAATAATAAAAACTATGTGAGTAATTACCAAAATTTTAAAATATAATAATATAATATAGTAATAATAAAAATCGATGTGAGTAACGGTTAGATTCAAATTTATATTTTATAAAAATAACTTTATTTAAAAATATAATAATAGGAAAAATTCCACCATTTGTTACTCTCTCAAAATTATAAATGTCATACTTTGATATATTTTGATTTGTCTATCATTTTGATTTTGCTGCCACATCATCACGTCAGGTATGTTGTCTCGACTGTAATTTCTTCGTTTTAGCTCTGATTTGAGTAATTGAAAAGTCGTTGAAATCGTTATTTCCGAACTTATACTGTGGACAGTTTAAAATAAATTAATAATTAAAAGTAGGTTTATTATCCTTAAAATATCCATTAATTGATTGAAATTAATTAAAGTGGGCAAAAAAAGCCCACCATTATTATTTTTTCCATACTTGCCCCCTTCTCGGCTTTTCTTTTCTTCTTTCATAATCCTCCTCCAAAACCAAACCCTAACTAAACCGCCTGAGAATCACCTCCACGGAAGAAGAAACAAGCTGAGGAAAATGGCGGTGTGGTTGCGCCGTTGCCGTTCGCTCTTCTCATCATCCTCCTCAACCTCTTCACCTGGCTTCTTCCGGACTCTCCTTCGCCGCACCTTCCCATGACTCGCCCCCCCCACCTTATCATAAGCTAATCGGCGAGAAAGGTACGTGCTCTTTTTGTTCTGCAATTTGTCATGCTTCAAGTTGCAGACAACGTTTGTCTATGTTATTGTTAGTTATTTTTAAATAGCTTGATTTACGAAATCTTCTGTTCTTCAATTTGTATTAGTTCAAGTTGCAGACAATGTTTGCATATAGTTATTGTTAAATAAGTTTGATTTACTAAATCTTCCGTTTTGCAATTTCTCATGCTTGGGTCGATTTGATATTTGAAAATTGATATTAAACCGACATTGTTTGCATATGTTATGTAAGTTTGTTTTACCAAATCCTCTGTTCTGCAATTTGTAATGCTTTCGATTGCCGACAATGTTTGCAAATGTTATTGTGTTAAGTAAGCTTGTTTAACCAAATCCTGTATTTTGCAATTTGTAATGCTTCAAGTTGCAGACAATATTTGCCATACGTTATTGTTAAGTAAGTTTGATTTACCAAATCCTCCGTCCTGCAATTTGAATCTTTGCATACGTTATTGTTAAGTAAGTTTTGATTTACCAAATTTTCTGTTATGCAATTTGTATTAATATTTTCATAACGTTACTGTTAGTTATGGTTAAATAAGCTTGATTTACCAAATCTTCTGTGCTGCAATTTGTAATGGTTTAAGTTGCAGACAATGTGTGCTTACGTTGTTGTTAAGCTTGATTTACCAAATTCTATGGTCTCCAATTTGTATTGTTTCAAGTTGCAAACAATGTTTGTCTATGTTATTGTTAGTTATGGTTGAGTAAGCTTAATTTATCATTTTATTCCGTTTAATTAACCTAAAATTACTTGTTTGTTAAAATAATTGACCAACCACAATTATTTAAATTTGAACTTTCATTTTATACTAAAAAAATATCCATTCTGCAAATATATATATATTTTTAAAAGAAACTAACCCTTCTTTCAGTTATCCTTTTTTCGGACATGGTATTGGGCTAAATCTAGCTTACTAAACAGAAGACATATTCAAAAGCCCAAGCCCAAGCCCAAGCCCGAGCCCATTAAATTTTCTTTCAGTCCAAGTTGGCCCAATTACATTTTCATAAATAGATTTTGCACCCGTCTTTATTTGCGTATTAAATTGTTTCTCTTCAAATCAATATAATTTATCAAACTTTATTTCATCAATAAAATATATTTATATAAAATTAATTAATTAATTTTTTTAATTTGGTATATAAAAATCAGAAACAATGAGACAAATAATGTGATAACAAGAAGAGAAAAAAAACAGTGGAAAAGTACCAAACGACCAACACTCCTTTTTGTACATCCCAAAGCAAACCCTAATTTTCTAATAACTCCCTCGAGCCCTCCAATCACAATCTCACTTTTTTTTTTTTCGGAAAAACCCCATGAATTAAACATAATTGCCAAACAACCCCTCAAATTAAATTAGTTTTTTTATAAAAAAAAGTCATAAAAAATTGAAAATTTACCCCTCCTCTCTTCTCTACCCAACAAAGCTGCACATGTATCTTCTCTCTGCAACTCAATCATGGAAAGGGCTTTTGAAAGTGGTCCCTTTCCTTTCCTTTCACAAAAGGCAAACCAAACCACATGGCTGACCATATTAATCATTATTTTCCCATAAACCCCTCCTTTTCTTTCTATTTCCTTTGGAGCTTGCTCTGCTAAACGACCACGTTTGGAGCTTGCTCTTTTTGACCTACATTACAAAGCTTGCCGTCCGTCGCAGTGGTCGCCGTGACGGCGACGCTGGCAGTGATGTGTGGCGCTGCATTTTCCGTCTTCTTCATGTTTTGCTGGTGATATACTTGCCTCAGTCTCTCTATCTCTCTTTTTAGTGCCTCTTGATGAGCTGCATGCATGCATGCAAACAAAGTAAAAAAAATAAATAATTACAGTCTTGTAATGGTAAAAAACTTAGAACTATGCCTTTTTTTACTGTCTCCCTCTTGAATAATTTATAATGATGCATGCAATTTCGTGAGAAGACAAGAACAAGTGCTAAAGTTCCCTGTTGGCCAACCAATTTTATAATTCTAAATAGTAATACTCTTCTCTTTCCTTATAGTGCCCACCACGTTGTTCTTCCTATCTCTCCTTGAGCCAATGGACAATCATTATGCCCATTGCCCCCAACTCCACGTTACATGTAAGTTTCAATTATGCTTTTTATATTTTTTATATTTTTGTTTTTATTTTTATTTTTTAACCAAAAAATATCACTAAACATCAAAATTATTGTAACAAATTGTTATTATTATTTTTTTTTTTATAAAAATAAAGGATACAAATTGACTTGAAAGATGTTGTGTAACATTTAGAGGGTGTATGTGATATTATCTATTTATTTGTGAATGATTATTACAAACGATGTCATATATGCATTTTAGTTTGTATATATTGGACGTGTCGTCAATTTAAATATTCTTTAAAAAAAAAAAATTCAATCCAACAAATTTTCAAGTTTAGGAGCGTATTAAAATAGGAAAAAAAGAAAAGACAAGTACTTGCCTTAATTAGTTGGTACAAATAATTTCTAGCATTATGAAAAATTTCCATAATAATCTATGTTTGCCATATGAGTGACCCGGATTATCGTTTGATTATGAGATAATTAAGGAGGTAAAATAATTAATTAAGAAGATAATGGAACATTTACGTACCATCTTTAAAAATCTTATCCTGTGCAAGGGCGGCGATTCTTTGCTTCAGAGCACTGTTGTCGACGTTGAGAAGCAATCTCTGGTGGTCCAAAAACGCCACTCGCGGCGACAGCACCGATACTTCAGCCTTCACATTATGAGATAATATATATATCATGCAATTTAATGATGATAGTGATGAGATAATTGAGATTATAGATTCTTAATTGTTAATTAAGAAATAATTTTGCAACGTACCTGTAGCGATGTAACGCTTCTTTCGAGTTCTGATATGTATTGAAGCTTCCTCACTCGTGATCTTTGAGCCGATTGCCGATTTGCCAGAATTCTAAATCGAGAAACGACAACCCATTTGAAAATCTTTAAATTTGCTTAAACCCAGATGGATTTTGGGATGGAATTTGAAAACCCAGATGAAAGTTTTGAGCTTTATCATGTTAATGGAGGGAATTAAACGATAAAGTTTTCACCTTTTGACTCTTTTGGGGTCTGTTATTCGTTCGGTGGAAGTCGCCGTCGCCGTGGAATTGGAGTGTGTTTGAGTATCCGATTGCTGTTGGCTCTGTACTTCGTCGGTTTCGTTTTTGTTCTGATTTTGCTTGCCGTCGTTTTGGGCATCTTTCTCGTCGTTAATGCTGTTGTGATCAGACGGCGTGGAGGGGTTCGACGACGACACGGTGGGCGCCACGCCAGCAGAGATTTCGTCGTTAAACATCGATAGGAATTGCTCGTCTTCGAATCCATCAAATTCATTCCTGTCGCCGGAGCCAGATCCCGGCGGCGGTGGCGGCGCAGTGGAGCCTCGGCAATCTTCCTCCAGCATTGGCATTTCAAGGAATGTGATGGAATCACTAACGGAGCGCCGGTGAGACCCACGTCTAGCGGAAGAAAAATCGAGAAACTCGTCGACCCAAGAAGGGTTCTGGTGAGTAAACGCCACCGCCGTTGTGGTTGTCGGTGCAAAGTTTCCAATTGAAGGGATTTTCTGACGGGAAAATTCCGGCCAATTGGTCGCCATATTTGGGATCTTCGGCGGTAGCTGTGCCATAGCACAGCCAAACAAAATAGGCAAAAAGAAGAACAAAAGAACACCAAATTCCAAAGCCTCCAAAAACCTCCAAAGCCTCCAAACCAACAATCAATCAGAAATCTCAAAAAACAGAGGGAAAAAAAAACGACCAAATTTCGACAGAGCTTCTGAATCTTAAGGCTGTTATAAGAGAAAACAAGAGAGAAGAGAATCAGGAAAGTAAATGAAGGATTAAATTAAGAGAGAGAGAGAGAGAGAGAGAGGAGAGAGAGGGAAGATTAAAGGGTTTAAATCCGAAATGAATCTTTTTTGCAATCTGAATCAAATGGTAAGAGCAGTGGGGTCACATGGGGGAGGAGATTGGACAGCTATGTCCAGCTGGGGGAGATGGGAATTTGGAAGGGAACCCAAAGGCTTGAGAAGAGAAAGAGGAGGGGATACGGAAGTTGGGCTTCAACGGTATAACTGCAAACTTGCCTCTACTTTTGTTTTTAAAAAAACTCTATTTAACAGTCCCACTAATCACCCACCACGTGATATTGTAACCCTCTCTATTTAGAGCCTATCCCTTACAATTAATTATCCTCGATTAACCAATTCCTGCACCAACAAACGATCGTTTGTAATCATCTCTAAAATCTGCATCATTCCTAATAACCATTAAATAAATGTTCATGTTTTAGAACCGTCGGATCTGATCCAATTAAAGAGAGGGCGGGCGATGATGATTGAGTTTGGATTGATGAGAGAAAGCAAAGCCACGTGGGTGTGGGTGCAGGCTTTTTGGTGGAGAAGAGGGGATGCTTGGTTTAGTCCAAGAGGTTAGTGGGAAAATGAAGAGAAGGAAAATGGGTTTAAAAGGATGATGTTTGTGTCACAACCCCCCATGTGAATTGTTTGCACGCTTTTAGCTTTCTTATGCTTTGTCCCCAGACCACTCCCACATGTAGGGTATATGCCCTTTTATCTCCCCCTCTTCATCTTCTTCATTCTAACTCATTATCCTATACAATTCCAAGTGCCTGCCAGCCAGCCAGTTCAACCATTCTCTCTCTTGCTCTCTCTGTCCTCCTATTTTGTATCAGAGACCTTTCTTCCTTCCTCAACTAAGAGAGAATTTGGATAAAAGATCAAACAAAGATGGAATGTGTCAAAAGCTGACACAGTTTTTCATTCAGGCTATGAATTTTTGATTGGGTAAAGATGAATTTGAGGTTGGAAATGAAAGACAGAGGCCCTTTTGGAGGATTTGCTACTATCTCTTTCACCTACCCCTGATTTTACTTTTACACTACTTTCATTTGGTTCGATATTGAATCAAAGGCTGCAACTTCGACAGGGCGATATTGAAAGTCATGTAAGACAAACATTGTAACAGAATTGTTTCTCTTTTGATATGGTACATTGCAGGGGGGGGATTCGAACCTGGTTCGAGTGGAAGAAACCATCAACTTCACTAACGAGTCAATCAACTAACCTAATTGTAACAAAATTGATGCAGACAGAGTTGCTAATCCTTTGTGTTATTGTGCTGCTATGATGGAGGCAGGATGTTTTAGGTCATGGCTAAGTTGGCTTAAGATGGATCTTTATATATAATATAGCTTAGCCCTAGCCAACCAATGGACCATGGCTCTGCGGTGAAGGGTGAAGGTAGAGCAGGAGTTCTTTATCCAGCGGGTTGAGGTTTGTGAGTACCTGAAAGAAACAAGATCATGAAATCATGCTCATAACAGACGCCAGGAGACCTAATGGATATTGAACACTAAGCCATATGCTCTAATGGGAGACGTACTTAGGATTAAAGCAGAGCAGAATGACGATAGCCACGCTTGCTTCAGCGGTGTCGTCTTCTCTTAGATTTCGCACGACATCGGTTTGCCCAAATGAGGACTGCAAAACATGTGAGAGCTACCTGTAGGATTATTACTAGCTTCAAACCTGGAATTATAAGTTGCAACAATCAGTCGAGTACTTCGAAATCTGTTTCGTAATTACTTAAACAAAAATCCTACCAATTAGCCTATGGAACAAGTCCTCCTTGGTGATTTCCTCCTTTACTTTTCTGTTGATTACATCCACATCTCGAGAAGTCGAAATATAATAACTGTTCTTGTACGCTGCATTTCCCCCCATGACACACGTGTTCGGGCAAAAGATATTACCATCATATTCATCACTTCCATCACAGCAATCTACAATTATATATTGAACAGGGAACTAGAATTTAATTCAAAGATGAAATGAAAACCTCAAGTTTCTCAAATTACCTGTGGATTCAAACACAAGTCAAAAAAAATGCAGACAAACTTGGCACATGGAACAAAATGGTCTGTAAAGTTTTGGTCTGGAAAATGCTGATTTTAAAGTTTCAATCACTGTTTGCAGACTTTACACAGAATAGAGACCTTAAATTGTCTAAACATAAAGCAGGAAGAACAAATAATCAGCACAATTAGCACATGACTTGTACTCATTGCATTACACATACCATCACAGGAAGGTTGTACTAAAATCTACATCAACAAATTTATGGTGTTTCATTGACTCACCTGTCTTCTTTTGACCAAACTTCAATAGAATCACATGCATAAATGAAGAAGAAAAACAAAAGATTTCAGAGATAGTTACCACAAATATGATCGTTGACGCGGGAAGAAAATAGGAACCGTGGTGTACTTCCCATGTTCCTGCAATAGAACTTCCCTCTTGCACAGGCAGAAGTTCCTGCAAATGTCAAATCCATGAGACAATTGGCTGATCCTTGCACAGTATTTGTGTGAGTGTGGTCTCTTCTTGCCTATTGGGAAAGGTTTGTTTTCCTTTTGTTCACATGAACAATTGGCCATCCCGGAATTCGGATTTATTGCTTATAAGTTCAGTATCATTCTAATGCAGAACCTATCCTACTTTCTAATGATACAGGAAAAAATAGATATGGTATCGACATTCCAATTCTCAACATGCCGGTGAAAATTCAGAAAGAAAAACAAGTCATGATCTTCTAGGATATGCAATAGAACATTAAACTTTACCAAGTTCCCATTTAAGACAGATTACAATGGCTATTAATTGTTGTCTTAGTTAAATACCTAATTTTAACAGCCATTTCAAATTGAAGGTCTTCGGTAAGAAATTTTCTTCTCCATTCCATAAACCAGAACTTCTCAATCAATTCAACCACTCGAAAATCGATATTAGATGTTCGAAACAAATTATGCATCGGAAATCCTTAGAAAGGCATAACATTAATTATTAAAATCCAGTAAGAACTAAGAAAGCACCAGGCTCATCGGTCCCATCAACGCAGTCACAGAAATCGTCGTTGAGACGATCAATAGTAAAAGATCGAGACCCATCCTTGCATTTTATGACCTCCGATGAATAATATTTCTCATCTGCAATCGAATACACATTTCAATTCAGAAAATTTTACCGAATGGGCACCAATTTAATATCAATTGACAATATGGGTACACCCCAAAAGGGGCAGTTAGATGGATGAGGGGCGAAATAGCACTAGAAATTTCAATTTTAAGCTTCGCAGAACCAGATCCAGTGAGACGATCAAGCACACAGTCAAAGAAAGAAAGAGAGAAGATAAGATTACCAAGGGGGTGCACTCCGATAAGTGATGGAACAGAGCGAACAGAAGCGAAGAAGAAACAGAATGAAAGCAGCAAAACGAAGCTCATGGACTTTGGAGAATGACCTGCTTCCATTTCTGTCAAAATTTTGCCTGCGGTAACGAAATCATAAGCTTCAGGGCAATCGGAGGAGCTGAAATTGATCAAAAGTTCGGAGACTTCACAAACTGAGCGCAGTTCCTCTTCATTCTACTATTGACTACCTAAGTTATATTTTATGTAATTTTCTCTAGAAAAAAAAAAAAAAAAGACCCTTTTATCTAAAATTCCTTATAAATTAAAAATAAATCAATTTTTCTTAGAGAAATTGAGTTGAGTGTTACTATAATCTTAGACTTCGAACAGATATTACCATGACCATAATTTATGTGATTTTAAGTTTCGTACACGAAATAGAAGATATTGTTTTCTTTCAACTTTTCTTTATATCCTCTTTGTTCCTCAAGGTTTTTAAAGGAGAGGTTTCCACTCTCTTCCAAACAATAACAATGTTTCATTCTCTTGCACGACTGATATAAAATCTCACCATCCACCTCATTTGAGGCCCAGCATCTGTTGAGGATTATTGGGAGTGAGTCCCACATTGGTTAATTTAGTGGAAGATCATATGTTTATAAATGAGAAATACTATCTCCATTGGTATGAGGTCTTTTGAAAAAACCAAAGCAAAGAGTTTGTGTTTAAAATGGACAATGTGCATGTCCTTATAACAAAATGTGAGTGATTTCAACACCCGTCTCTTGTTCATGCCACACGTTCTTCTTCTCTTTATTTGTCAATCAAGTTCTATATTATTTTACAAAGACTTTTGAGTACCCCCAGATTCCCACTGTGAAATTCTTCTTTCTCCTTCATCACACAGTTTGCTGTAACTTCCCCACTGAAACCTTCCCCAGATTCCCACTGTGTGAAGTTCTTCTTGAAACCTTCCAAGCTGCACGTATAATACTCTCCTTCATCTCACAGTTCTTTCTCTTGTTTTTTCTTCGTTTTTACCTCACCTTTTCATACATATTTGAAACAAGAATCCAAAGTTAGAGAGAAAGGAAGAAGAGGGAAGAGGTGTTTAACAATGGCTGCCACTTCTAGCCTGCACATAGCAATGTACCCTTGGTTTGCTTTTGGCCACTTAGTTCCATATCTCCAAATTGCCAACAAATTAGCCAAAAAAGGCCACAAAATCTCCTTCTTCGTCCCATCAAAAACTCACCTCAAATTACAGCCTTTCAATCACTTTCCTCATCTCATTACCTTCCTCCCCATCACTGTTCCTCATGTGGATGGTCTCCCTCAAGCTGCTGAAACTACTGCCGATGTTTCTCACCCTTCACAGTTCAGTCATATCATGACTGCAATGGATCTCACCCAACCACAAATCAAACGCCTCCTCCAAGACTTACAACCCCATTTCATCTTCTTTGATTTCACCTTCTGGATGCCCAAATTGGCATCTCAATTGGGCATCACCTCAATTTATTACAGTGTCATTAGTGCTACAACATTTGGTTATATTTATACCCCATCAAGGCAACTCTGTGGACATGATTTAACCGAGGCTGATTTCATGCAGCCACCTCCTAAGTACCCAATTTCCACAATCAAGCTTCATGCTCACGAGGCCAAAAATATTGCATCCATGGGCCGTATGAGATTTGGCAGTGATGTCCTTTTCTCTCATCGCCACTTCACTGGTCTTTGTGAGGCTGATGCTATAGCATTCAAGTCATGTAGGGAGATTGAAGGGCCTAGCGTGGACTACCTCATAAGTGAATTAAAAAAGCCTGTTCTGCTATCAGGACCCGATGGGGACATACAGCAACCAACAACAGCTTTAGAACATAGATGGGCAGAATGGCTATCAGGGTTCGATGCTGGTTCAGTCATATACTGTGCATTTGGAAGTGAGTGTTACTTAACAAAAGACCAACTCCATGAATTGGTATTGGGTTTTGAGCTTTCGAACTTACCATTCTTTGCTGCACTCAAACCTCCGCTTGGCGTAGAGTCGGTCGGCGCTGCCTTGCCTGAAGGATTTGAACAGAGAGTTCAGGGGAGAGGGGTGGTATATGGAGGATGGGTTCAACAACAGCTTATTTTGGAGCACCCATCAATTGGATGCTTTGTTACACATTGTGGGGCAGGGTCCTTATCTGAGGCATTGGTGAAGAAATGTCAGTTAGTATTGTTGCCTCATGTTGGCGACCACATTTTTCGAGCAAGAACGATGAGCAGCCATTTGAAGGTTGGTGTGGAGGTGGAGAAAAGGGAAGAAGATGGATTTTTTACAAAAGAAAGTGTGTGTAAGGCAGTGAAGACCGTGATGGATGAAGAGAATGAAACTGGTAAAGCGATCAGAGCAAACCGTGAGAAGTTAAGAGAGTTATTCCTTGACAAAGATCTGGAGGAGTCTTATATCAACAATTTCATCCATGATCTCCAAGTTTTAATTGCATAAGCCTTCATTAGCAACGTCTGTTAAGAATATTGAATCACAATCAACTGATAATAAAATGCTCAGTTACAAAATCAATGGATTACTTGATGTCATTGATGATCAAGGGTGTTTCTCTTTTTCAGCTTCAGAGGTGTGCAGATGCCTGAAGTGAAACAAGCCAGTTAGACCTCGTCCCTTGGACAATTTTTCCAGTTCTTCGATCTTCTGTTTGAGAATTTCTATTTCTCGAGCTAAATCATCATCTCTTTGCTTCATCGCCTATAGTTACAAGCATGTACATATATTTTAGAATAACAAAGTATGCTTAAGCATTACTTTTAAGTTCAAGTCAGATCAGAAGAACATGTATGTGAAAATATTTTTCAAATTACAAAAAGTTCATGAATACAAATTACAGTCGTACCAAAAGAAGCACTATAAATTTAAAGGAAAGAAAATCATTGAAAATTATCCCACAATGAATTCAAAAATGTCAAAAAAACAAAAGAAGGAAGAAGAAAAAATCCAAATACCTCCAATTCTTGCCTGCGGAGATCCTCCTTTCTTGCTTCTGATCTCGAATTTCTTTGCACCTCAAAAATAACAGCAGCTCCAGCAACCTATGGGCAGAGTACAGCTGATATAAAACCGGGAAATATACACTTCTAATGGAGTAATATGATAATGAGTATATGGATCTCTAAAGTTATTCTTTATGGCACATAGGATGACATGGTGCTTCTAATATACTTCTCCAAAAGAGAACGTTTTTAAGCCCATTATCATATCTCACTAAAAGAACAAGGAAAACATGTTCGTGCCATTGGATATAATTTTATAAATCCAAATATCCCAGTAGGAGAACACCACTGATTCTTGAATACAAACCAGCAAATGCTAAGATAATTTTTCTAAAAGAAGAAGAGTGAGAGAGAAAGAGAGAAGAAATCATTTTACCGTGAATACAAAGAGCTCCCCGAGAAGATCTGCTGCAGCTTGGACAGCTTTCTCTTCATTCAAGGGCCTTATGGCAGCATCTGTTGCACGACCATATATTCTTCGTTGCACATTCGTTGAAAACCGATGATTTGCCTGGTTCAGTATATGAAAGAACAAGATCAGAACATCTTAAAATCCATTCCACAAGGAAGAATGGGCTTATGGGCAATAAACCTATCTGCATTCTATGAACACTTAATCTATGTATATGACGTAACATGTATGTGAGATTCCACATCGATTGGAGAGAGAAATGAGTGCCAGCAAAGACGCTAGCCCCGAAGGAGAGTGGATTGTATCCATATCGATTGGAGAAGGGAACAATTGCCAGCGAGGACGCTGGCCCTAAAGGAGGGTGGATTGTGAGATCCCGCATCAATTGGAGAGAGGAACGAGCGTGAAAATTTCTCCTTAGCATACGCATTTTAAAAACCTTAGGCTAGGCCCGTAATATATTTGGGAAAAGGGCATTCAAATGCTTGAGTTGCACCAAATTTGAAACAACTGATTTCACAAGCTTAGCAATATTAACGTACATGTTTAATTCACCGCCTGGCACGAGTCTAAGACTGCAGACCTTCATAGCAGTAAAAGTCCTAAGGGCTACTAATCATGGGACATATAAGCTTTAAGCATACCAAGAAAACAGACTAACAAAACAAAACATGGAACGCGGCCCATCTATGCCATTTCCCTCGAGATAATTACAACTTCCCTTAATGAATTCATCTCTCAGAAGCATCACAGTTGTGCAAAATATATCATAAATAACTGCTAGTATCAACCATAACGAGAAAACAAACTATCGCATAAATACATTTGAAAGAAATGAAAATCCTTGAAATTCTACAAAACCTGTGCGATGTTGATAATGTACTGCCTAAACTTCGGGTGCAACCCAGCCTCCTTCTTGAGACGATTGGCGATTGGTTTGCAGATGGTTTTCAGAGCAAGAGCCCCTAACTTCACAAAAGGGAGAATCATTCCTAGCCAACGCACCCTCTTTCCAAAACGTTAACACAAACTCGAATCGAGCTCTACAACATAGAACTAGTCGAAATTAAAGACGTGGGAAAGAAATAGAAAGGTTGACTGTTGTAGTTGGTCACTATTGACCGGGTAGCCGATTCCGCAAACATAATGCGTGGGGAAGAAGAAAGACGATTAGAGAAGAGGAAAATGGAATCGAATAAATCAATCGCAGAGGGGTGGATCGATCGCAGGCCGAACAATCCAGAAGGAGATTCGTTCTTGCAAAATACCACTACCATTGATTTCCTCAAATTGCGGGTTAAAGACGTTGGGCCTAATTCCATTTTAAAAGCCCATTTAAAAAAGCCTTCTTGCGGTATAAAGACGTTGGGCCTAATTCCATTTTAAAAGCCCATTTAAAAAAGCCTTCTAGAAGGCTTTTCTAAATGGGCTTTAAAATGGAATTAGGCCCAACGTCTTTAACCCGCAATTTAAAAGCCCAACAATACAAAGTTCATTTTATTTACATAATAATAAACTAAAATAATATTAGTTAATTAATTTTTTCGGAAAACAACGCAATGATGCTTAACTCGTAATTAAATAATGATTCAAGCTTTGGCTAATTGAAATTAAAATTGAACAGATGATTATCAACTAGCTTAGCACGTGATGTACGTTACGTATATTGCTCTATTTTATAATAAATTAATTATAATCGACAATAATTGAAATTTTTAAAATAGATTTATTACTACTTATATCACTGAAAGATTACGAGAGATCGTGAAAGATTAAGATCGATTTCATCATGATATTAAAAATTAAGATAAATTCAATTTTTTAAGCGTATAAATAATAATGAAGAGTACCACTTGTGTATTGTGCATTGTTTAATTAACTAAGATGTCATATCTTTAATTAAAAGCATAACAAGATCACGTTAGATATAGCTGGATTTGATAACATAATACACAATTAATAATTCACGATGATAATATAATACACAATTAATAATTAATGAAGAGTTGGAATAGGTACCTAAAATAATTTTTCTAAGAATCAATATTAAAACAAATCACGTTATTGATTCTTATGGCTCGATTGGTCAACATATTAGCATTTCTGTCCTACCATTTACATTAATATTTTTTCTTTATTAAAAGAAAATATTTTTAAATTTTTTTTTAAAAGTTACTTTTCTATTTTCTTTCTCTCATTCATCGCCATTGCCGACCATCGTGTCCCTGTCATCCAATTTTTTTATTTATTTGTTTGAAATTATTTATTTGTTTGAAATATCGAGTTTGATAATTCAAAAATCAAACTCAAATCTCAAAGACCAAAATGGTAATTTTCATTAATGAACTAACGCACGTATAACAAGATTGTATCCATAAATACAAAGATTATATACAAAAATCGATTATTTATGAGTTAGGTCGACGAAATTAAAAGTTTATTTTATCCGTATAATTATATAAAAAATAAACACACACGATATGAAATTATTTATTCATTATATAAATAATAATGAAGATCCACTGTTTAATTGGAGGCCTTATTACTTTAATCAAAAATAGAAATTCAAATCCTCATTTTTAAATATTGTGGGATTTCGATGGATTTATTAATGAAAAGTTTGACCGACAATTGTGGATAGATATTTTAAATAATTTTATTAAAATATAAATTAAAAGAAAAAAACTTACATCAGCCTTTTCACTAAAAAATCATTTCCTCCTCAAATTGTCGTGTAATTTCACAGTCCACTCCTGGCCCAGCATCCACCTACCTTCGAGTCTTAGAGTCTTCGCTGACACATCATTTAATATCTTTTAATATCTTAAGCCCACTCTTAACAGATATTATCCTCTTTCAGACTTACTCTCAAAGTTTTTAAAATACGTTTTCTTAACTTTCATAAAGAATGTTTCATTTTTCTCTCCAACTAACGTGGGATCTCACACTATCCTCATGATATATCTCATTCAAGCGTGGTTTCGATTAATTTATGACCCCTCATCTATTTGGACGGTTCACATTTGGAATTTATAATTAAAAAGTTTCAAACTTTTGACGATAATTATATTATATATAAAAATGTGATTCTCTGGCCTAAAAACAAAACAAGACAATATTTGATATATACATTTATCTATAAATAGGAAGAACCAAATTACACTTTCCAACCCATAAAGTTCTCCAACGATCTCTCCTTGATATCATTATGAATTTGGAGGGTGGAAAAATGGCAGCAATTGCCGGCAATGAGTTGCTGGAAGCTCAAGCCCACATATGGAACCACCTCTTCAACTTCATCAACTCCATGACTCTCAAATGCGCCATTCAACTAGGCATACCAGACGCCATCCACCGCCATGGCCCTCACCCTATGCCTCTCTCTCGTCTTGTTTCAGCCCTCCAACTCCATCCGAATAAGACCCAATTCATATATCGCTTAATGCGACTATTGACTCACTCTGGCTTCTTTGTAGCACAAAAACTGCCCAAAAATAGTGGCTTAGAAGAAGAAGAAGAAGAAGAAGGGTATGTCCTAACCAATTCATCTCGTCTTCTTCTCAAACACAACCCTTGCGCTGTAACACCTTTCTTACTTTCCATGCTCCAACCAGCCCTCGTGGAACCATGGCAGCTCCTCTCAACCTGGTTCCAAAGCGAAGACCGAACGCCATTCCATACGGCTCATGGAATGCCGTTTTGGGAGTTCTTGGGGAATAAGGTGAAAGATGGGGAGGGTTTCAATGCAGGCATGGCGAGTGATGCGAGGTTGGTGATGAGTGTGTTATTGGACAAACATAAAGGAGTCTTTGATGGAGTTGCCTCGCTAGTTGATGTCGGTGGCGGCACTGGAACTGTGGGCAAAGCCATTGCAGAGGCTTTCCCACAAATTGAATGCACAGTGTTTGATCTTCCCCAAGTGGTGGGTGAGTTGAAGGGTGAAGGGAACTTAAAATATGTTGAAGGAGATATGTTTAAAGCTATCCCTCCTGCCGATGCGCTTCTATTAAAGGTAAATCTTGTTAAATGAAGACGACTCTCCACAATGGTATGATATTGTACACTTTGAGCATAAGCTCTCATGACTTTTCTTTGGGTTTCCCTAAAATGCCTCACACCAATGGAGAGAGTATTATTTATTTATAAACACATGATCATTCTCTAAATTAGTCGATGTGGGACTTTCATCATCCAACACACCTCCCCTCGAACAAACTGCGCCTCCTCTTAATCGAGGCTCGACTCCTTTGGAGTCTTAGTCATTTTTTACTGCCTTCGAGGAGGCTTGACTAATTTTCTTTTGGAATCCTTTGTTCGATATTTGAGGAGCTACCAATCTATTGACACGGACTAAATTTAGGGCATGACTCTGATACCATGGTAGACGAACACGACTCTCCATAATGGTATAATATTGTCCACTCTGAGCATAAGCTCTTGTGGCTTTGCTTTGTGTTTCTCCAAAAGGCCTCACACCGATGGATATGGATAGAGTATTCTTTGTTTATAAATCCATGATCATTCCCTAAATTAGTCTACCCGACTTTCATCATCCAACAAATCTAATTTATATTTACTTTCTATATTATTAAAGAAAATAATAATAATAATAATAAAAAAAAAGCAGTGGTTTAGCTGGTTCCCACTTTTAGTACACTAATAAACATTTAAAATCTAAACTAATAAACATTTCGTACTAACCGTCCATGAATTATATATATATTTAGTCTAAATTAATAAAAAATAATTTTTTATTTTTTATTTTTGTCTATAAAAATATTAATTGTTTACGAAAATATGATATTTGGTGGTGACAAAATAGTGGATATTACATGATTGGAGCGACCAAGAATGTGTGAAGATTTTGAAGAACTGCAAGGCTGCCATTACGAGTAATGGCTACAAAGGAAAAGTGATGGTAATTGACATGGTGGTGGGCTATAAAGGGAAGGAGTCGGACTCGTACGAAACTCAACTGTTCTATGAGATGTTGATGATGATCTTAGTCGGTGGAAAAGAGAGGGAAGAAAAAGAGTGGGCTAAATTGATCGAAGAAGCTGGATTTAGTGGCTACAACATCCTCCCAATCGTGGGCCTAAGGTCTCTTATTGAGATTTACCCTTGACACTCCCTTTTTAATGGGTTATGCTATGTGTTGGGATCAAGTTTGTAAACTCATTTGCTTGATATGCGACTTGTGAAAATGATATGGAAATCAACCCAAGGGAAAGTATGGAACGGATTACCTTGATGATCAAGATCAAGAGTAAAGAAAACTCGTTTCTAAACTCGTGATTCGAATCACTCCACAAGAGGTTTGATCAATACCACTTGAATGACTCTACATGCAAGTTCTAAACACAAGAATTTGCAAAGAAAGTTTAGCTCTTAACAAAGCTAAAATAGAAATTCTATTCTTAATTCCAAAATCTGATGTCTAATCAAAGAAAAGAAGGCTTTATATAGCCTTTACAACCTTAACCTATGTCATACATAACTCCCAAATTAAATGGGCTAGTAAATGAGAAATACCCATAACCTCCTCATTTAAATGGCTAGTTAAAGGTGGAATATAGTAACCTACGTGGGTTACAATATAACCTTAACTCCTATATTTAAAACTAGCTTAAATATGACAAACAAATAGTTAAACTATAATTAAATAATGCAAATAATAAAATGTGCTTTTTAGTCATTCTTGGACTATTTGATAAATTCAGCGGAGTTCATTAAATGCAACTTAAAGTGCATTTAATTCATCTCTTTCTTGAACCTCAACTTTGCACAACATAGAAGGGAGGTCTCCAGCGTCTTCTAGAATTTCCTTTGATGAGCTCACCATAGCTTGAATATAACTGTATAAAGTTTGTTGTAGCTTCTTGGCTCTCGTCCTTGTAATTGGACCTTGAGGTATGGAAATTCCTTGGTCGTGGTTCATATCATTCTCCCCCTCTTGAGAAGGATTCGTCCTCGAATCCAAGCCATCACCTACATCAAAAGGGCTCAAATCAACAACATTAAAAGTTGCACTAACACCGTACTTACCTGGTAAATCAATTTTATAAGCATTGTCGTTGATGCGCTCAAGAACTTGAAAAGGTCCATCTCCTCGTGGTAAAAGCTTAGATTTTCTTTGAGTAGGAAATCTTTCTTTTCGGAAATGCACCCAAACCCAATCTCCTGGCTTGAAGATAACAATCTTACGTCCTTTATTAATTCGGGTGGCAACCTTGGAATTTTGTTTCTCAATTTGTTCTTTCACTTGCTTGTGCAGTTTATGAACAAACTCAACCTTGGCATTTGCATCAAAATTCACAAACTCTTTTGACGGTATGGGTAACAAGTCAATAGGGGTTAAAGGATTAAAGCCATAAACAATTTCAAAAGGTGTGCATTTAGTAGTGCTATGAACAACCCTATTATATGCAAATTCTATAAATGGCAAACAATCCTCCCAAGTCTTAAGATTCTTATCAATAATAGCCCTAAGCATAGCAGTCATGGTTCTGTTAACAACTTCAGTTTGTCCATCCGTTTGAGGATGACAAGTAGTTGAATATACTAGCTTAGTTCCTAACTTACCCCATAAAACACGCCAAAAGTGGCTTAAAAATTTTACATCACGATCACTAACGATGCTTTTAGGAATGCCATGTAATCGTACAACTTCCCTAAAGAACAGGTCTGCAATATGTTTTGCATCATCAGTTTTGTGACAAGGAATAAAATGAGCCATTTTACTAAATCGATCCACCACAACAAAAATGCTATCATAACCTTTCCTAGTCCTAGGTAAACCTAAAACAAAATCCATTGATATATCAATCCATGGACCATTAGGAACTGGTAATGGGGAGTATAAACCATGTGGTTGAAGCCTAGACTTAGCTTGTTTACATGCTATGCAACGACCACAAACTTTATGAACATCATGTCTCATTTTAGGCCAAAAAAAATGTTCAGAGAGCATATCATAAGTTTTAGAAACTCCATGGTGTGCCATTAAACCACCTCCATGAGCTTCCCTCACAAGTAGCTCACGGATGGAACAAGATGGTATGCAAAGTTTTCCTTTTCGGAACAAAAATCCATCTAACAACAAGTAATTATCCACAATGAGTCCTTTTTCACAAGATTCAACAAAAGGAGCAAAGAACATGTCATGTTGATACAAATCCTTTATGTGTTCAAAACCCAACAACCTAGCATTCAAAGTATTGAGGAGGACATACCTTCGTGATAAAGCATCTGCTACAATGTTCTCCTTTCCTTGTTTATATTTTATGACATACGGGAATGTTTCAATAAATTCTAACCACTTAGCATGTCGTCTGTTGAGTTTATTTTGTACTCTCAAATGCTTTAAACTTTCATGATCCGTATGAATAATGAACTCTTTAGGCCAAAGATAATGTTGCCAGGTTTGCAATGCACGAACCAAAGCATAAAGCTCTTTGTCATAAGTTGGATATCTCAAAGATGCACCAGTCAACTTCTCACTAAAGAACATTAAAGGTCTTTGATTTTGCATTAATACAGCACCTATCCCTACTCCACTAGCATCACATTCAATTTCAAAAGTAGACTCAAAATTAGGTAATGCAAGCAAGGGAGCAGAACTCAATTTATCTTTCAAAGTATTAAAAGCAAGTTCTTGATCTTTTTCCCATATAAAGGATACATTTTTCTTAACAAGTTCATTCAAGGGTGAAGCAATTGTACTAAAATTTTTAATGAACCTACGGTAGAAACTTGCAAGACCATGAAAACTTCTTACCTCACTTACATTTTTCGGAGTAGGCCAATCTTTTATAGCCTTCACTTTCTCTTCATCAACCTCAACACCATTAGATGAAACTACAAACCCAAGAAAGTTAACTTTTTCCATGCAAAAGCTACATTTCTTTAAATTTACATACAAACATTCGTTTCTTAAAGTAGTCAAAACATTGCGTACATGGATAATATGATCATCTAAAGATTTAGAGTAAACAAGGATGTCATCAAAATAAACAACCACAAACTTACCTAAGTATTCTCGTAAGACATGATTCATTAGTCTCATGAATGTACTAGGTGCATTAGTTAATCCAAAAGGCATAACCAACCATTCATAAAGACCATACTTGGTTTTAAAAGCTGTTTTCCACTCATCCCCAATATGCATGCGAATTTGATGATAACCCGATTTTAAATCAATCTTAGTAAAAAGACTACATCCATGCAATTCATCAAGCATATCATCTAATCTGGGAATTGGATGCCTATACTTTATAGTTATCTTGTTTATAGCCCTACAATCAACACACATACGCCAAGATCCATCTTTCTTAGGTACAAGAATAACTGGAACAGAACAAGGACTCAAACTTTCACGTACATACCCTTTAGCAAGGAGTTCACTTACTTGCCTTTGTATCTCTTCAGCCTCCTTTGGATTAGTCCTATAAGCTGGTCGGTTTGGAATGGGCGCGCCAGGAATGAAGTCAATCTTGTGTTCAATCCCTCTAAGTGGTGGCAAACTACTAGGCATTTCCTCGGAAAATAAATGTTCAAACTCTTGCAAAAGCACAACAAAATCACTAGGCAAAGAAGGGTTAAGCATGTTAGTAAAGTAACAAGACCCCTTGCACATAAGTACAAGAATAGTCTGGTTAGAGAGCAAAACATTCCTAGCCTCACTTGATCTAACATACAAGCTTACTGATTTGGCTTTTCTCTCTTTTTTTTCTCTAGGCTGAGTGTTACTCTCTTGCTTTTCACTCAAGCTCTTTTTTTCATTTGATTCTTTTTCAATCTCTGCTTTTGCATCAGCCTCTTGCCTTTTCTTTTCAAGTTTGCAATGATCAATAAATACATCTTTTGGAGACAATGGGATAAGAGTAGTTTTTCTACCGTTGTGAGTAAAGGAGTATCGATTTGCATACCCATCATACATTACCCGACGATCAAATTGCCATGGCCTCCCCAGTAGTAAATCTCCAACATGCATGGATACAACATCACATAAAACATCATCAACATATTTTCCAATTGTAAAAGAAACAAGAGTTTGTTGAGTTACCCGTACTTCCCCACAATCATTCAACCATTGAAGCTTGTAGGGTCTTGGATGTGGTTGTGTCTTTAAATTAAGTCTTTTGACCAGAATGGAACTCACAACATTGGTGCAACTACCGCTATCAATGACAACACTGCAAGGTACAGATTGAACAAGACACCGAGTTTGAAACAAGTTCTCCCTTTGGTCTAGGCCGTCCTCCTTAATGTGGGTGTTTAGAGCTCGTCGAGTAACCAAAGATATATGTGTAGGGTCCTCTTCACTAAACTCCTCACTCTCATCTGTTTCCTCATTTATGTCGTCATGTGCCTCGTCATCCGTAACAATTTCTCCCTCCTTGATGGTCATAATTCTTGCATTTGGGCAATCTCTACTATAGTGTCCTACCCCTTGACATCTCCAACACTTTAAATCCCTATTTCGAACATTAGGCTTTTCTACTTTTTCTTTCCCTGTTCTAGAACTCTCCCCTTTCTCAAATTTAGCTTGAGGCTTCTCATTAATCTCTTGATTTCTATGCTTATAATCAATGTTCTTACTATCCTTTTTCCATGTAGAAGTAGAATTGGGAAAAGTTTTAGAAGAATACCGTTGAGACCTTCGTTGGATTTGCCTCTCGATCTTAATTGCAATGTGCAACAACTCCTCAATATTAGAATAAGGCTGTAAATCAGTCTTGTCTGCAATCTCTATGTTTAACCCATTAAGAAACCGCGCCATGAGAGCCTCCATGTCCTCATCGAGTTCAAGTCGATCCATCAATGTATCCATCTCCTTGTAATAATCCTCCACAGATTTGCGTCCTTGTTTCAACGCTTGAAGCTTTTGCGCCATGTCCCGTTGAAAATATTGTGGAACAAAACGCTTCCTCATGGACTCTTTGAACTCGACCCATGAATCAATTGGTGCTTCAAGATTTCTTCTCCTACTTGACATCAATTTATCCCACCAAATTTGAGCATATTGTTTGAATTGAGCAATGCATAACAGTACCTTCTTTTCATCACTAAAATTATGGCAGTTGAACACTGACTCCACCGTTTTCTCCCATTGAAGGTACTCCTCTGGATCGGTTTTGCCATAAAACTTGGGAAGTTTTAATTTGATGCTCCCC